CAATGACAATTGGTGACGTTGGCAATCAAATGAGTTACAGGATGTTTTCATTAATTGATCTTGAATTTACCATTTTCATGTTCAGATTTTAGTAGTGAATACCATGTTCTGTCTATATCAACTGAACAAGAAGCAATGTTATTGTCTCCGTTCAGAAGAATGCAAGCAGATTCCTTGATTTTTCTCTTCTGGTTGTTATCTTCTTTTCCAATAATTTTAATATTATTCCACTCTGCCATATGTTGTCCGTCTTCAGTAAGGATATGTTCAGCTAGTTTCGATTTATCGATGTTTCTTTTCTTTATATTGTACTTATGTTCTTTCGTCCTTACTGAAAGAGGTCTCTTGGTTTCACCTGTATAAAACTTTCCACAAACACAAGGTATACTGTAAATACAATTTTTTGATGATTGTTCTTCATTTTTCGGCTTTGTTTGAGTTAGAATTGATCTCATTGTATTTTCAGTTTTGAACACAGTTTTCACTTGAAATTTATCACCAACACGTTTTATTTTTTCAGATATGCCGGGAATGTATGGTATTATATTTGTCGTTATTGATGGTTGATTTTGTTGTGGTTGACCCTGTTTGTTTTCAATTCGATGAATCGTCCTATCGACAAAATTCTTTGGATAAGAATTGAGTTGGAGAACATTTTTAATGTGGTGGACTTCGTTATTGAAAATTTGTTGGTCAGATGATATTGATTTGGCTCTATCATGGAGTGATTTGATTATTCCTTTCTTAATACTTTTCTGATGATTTGATTGAAAGTTCAAGTATCTGTTAGTATGGGTCTTTTTACGATAAACACTCGTTACAAAGATGTTATTTGATTTTTCAATAAGAACATCTAGAAACGGTAATTGATTATTAGATTCAATTTCCAAAGTGAACTTTATTGTAGGTTCGGCATTGTTCAGATAATTCAGAAAAATTATCTAGCTCCATAACATTGTGAGGCCAAATTATGAATATATCATCTACGTATCGCCACCATGTTTTAGGTTGTTTTTGGTAATTTTTGATGATGTTGTCTTCAAAATTCTCCATAAATATATTGCTTAAAATTGGAGATAATGGCGATCCCATGGCCATTCCAAAGTTTTGTTGATAAAACTCATCACCCAATTGAAAATATGTTGTTTTTAGACACAATTCCAAAAATTCCATTATTCCTTCGATACTTAAATTAGTTCTTTCAGTGAGACTTTCATCGTCTTCTAATTTATGTTTCACTATTTGTAAAGTTTTATCTATTGGAACATTTGTGAATAAACTTACTACATCAAAACTAACAAGAGTATCATTTGTATCAAGAGTGATGTCATTAAGTTTTTCTAAGAAATGAGGAGTATTTCTGATGTAACTCTCACTTTTTCCTGAAATAGGATTGATGATATTCAAGAGAAATCTTGCTAAATTTTGACATGGAGATCCAATTGAACTCACGATTGGTCTCAATGGAACATTTGGTTTGTGTATTTTTGGAAGTCCGTAAAAATGAGGAGGTTTGCTGTGATATGTGGAGATATTCTTTCTTTCCGCGAGTGTCAATTGATTTTCGTGTTTCTTAATAGTGTTACGTATCTTTCTTTCGATATTTGCTGTAGGATCTTTATTCAATTTCGTGTAATTACCATCATTTATAAGTTGTTCAATTTTAGTATTATATTCAATCCTGTCCATGATGACTGTAGCATTTCCTTTATCAGCTGGAAGTATTTTTATTGTGTTATCGTGTTTTAGGTTATTAATTGACTGTTTTTCTATTCTAGTTATGTTTTGTGTGATTTTGTGTTCTTTTTCAATTATAATTTTATTTCTAATTCTATACTCATTAGAAAATTCATCAGGAAGTCTTTGCGCAGTTTGTTCGATTGCTGTAATAAATTCTATTCTTGGAAAATTATTTGGAGTTATTGAAAAATTCATTCCTTTTGATAATATTAATTTCTCAGTATCTGTTAATACTCTCGATGATAGATTCACAACAGTTTTGTTCAAGAAATTCTGTTGACGACTTCTGAATTGCAATTCTTTTCTTTGTTTTTCATTAATGAGATTATTGAATTTTCGTATGTGAATCTGTTTGTTCTTAGCATTCTCCTTTGTATAAGAATTATGAACACAAATGAAAATATGTGTTGAGTCATCCTCGTGTAAATCATTATATAAATTATGTTCTAATTGTGATATGATGTTCTTTATTCTTACCTTATTGTATTTGTGGAAACTTATTCTCTCTCTTACCAATGCCTTACTTGCTTTCAGAACTATCCATTCACATCGTCTACTATAAAATGGTGCTTTTAAATGTAACCCTTTTGGTATCACTTCATTATTACGACATTTGCAAAGAAAGGTTAAACTATTTTCCGTGTGAGACAGTTTTATATATAAATCTTCAAGTTTTCTGAACTGATGATTGATGTGAGGCCCATACCTATTTGTTAAATACTGTCTGTAGGTTAATCGAGGAGGTGGTATATTCATTATTCCAAATTTTTTGGGATTTTCTCTCCTCGTTTCTATAAAATAAAAATATGAATATTATTTCAATATACGTGTAGTAAGGACAAATCAGATGATTTGCCCCAAAATGTCACTGCGTTTAAAGAATTTTCCTATCAGAGAGCCTAAAAGAAAAATTCACTAGCTTGTCAGTGACAATTTGTATTGGAAAAATTTTTGGAGAAGGGAAATAAAGGTATATAGAAAAAATATCAAATTTTCACTTATCTTTGGACGTTTCGGGACCGGTTCTGCTCCCGTTTTCAACATAAGAAGAGATTATTTCAATAGCGAAGTCGTATAATGTCTTGAAGCTTTTCAGTTTTCAATGACAATTGGTGACGTTGGCAATCAAATGAGTTACAGGATGTTTTCATTAATTGATCTTGAATTTACCATTTTCATGTTCAGATTTTAGTAGTGAATACCATGTTCTGTCTATATCAACTGAACAAGAAGCAATGTTATTGTCTCCGTTCAGAAGAATGCAAGCAGATTCCTTGATTTTTCTCTTCTGGTTGTTATCTTCTTTTCCAATAATTTTAATATTATTCCACTCTGCCATATGTTGTCCGTCTTCAGTAAGGATATGTTCAGCTAGTTTCGATTTATCGATGTTTCTTTTCTTTATATTGTACTTATGTTCTTTCGTCCTTACTGAAAGAGGTCTCTTGGTTTCACCTGTATAAAACTTTCCACAAACACAAGGTATACTGTAAATACAATTTTTTGATGATTGTTCTTCATTTTTCGGCTTTGTTTGAGTTAGAATTGATCTCATTGTATTTTCAGTTTTGAACACAGTTTTCACTTGAAATTTATCACCAACACGTTTTATTTTTTCAGATATGCCGGGAATGTATGGTATTATATTTGTCGTTATTGATGGTTGATTTTGTTGTGGTTGACCCTGTTTGTTTTCAATTCGATGAATCGTCCTATCGACAAAATTCTTTGGATAAGAATTGAGTTGGAGAACATTTTTAATGTGGTGGACTTCGTTATTGAAAATTTGTTGGTCAGATGATATTGATTTGGCTCTATCAGTTACGAATGTTGAAAACAATATCCAATATTCTATGTAGGTCTCACTATTCAAATTTGAAGTTGATCCTTAGTTTTAGATCCGAGCAGCACATCGTTTGGCCTTCAAGGTCCTTAATATAACCCACGTACGTAATTGAAAACGTGGAAAATACCTACTGGAAAAAACACTATTCGGAAAGAGAGCGGATATCTAGCAATCCAGTTACGGACGTTGAATATATTATTCAGGTACTTCGACTGATATGTGATGTTCTGTTGCAGATCAGAGAAGCAGTATTTGATACTTGCCACTCAATCGGGGAAAACCATCCAGTCCATATGAACCGAACAGAAGATTCACAAAGTGAACTGACCAGAGTATACTTATGGTGACTAGTTATGTTATATACTTGGTATATTATGATTTGATAGTCTGAGATCCTCGCACTAGGTCGCCTACTAGGTTTTCATTTAGATCGATGGTCTGACATTGATGTGACATTTTTATAATATAAACTCAAAGTCTTATAATTTGTATCAATTGTATCCACAATTTGGTGACCCGACGTGATATTATGGAGCAGTTGAGCGAAGGCGAGATCATACAAATTTTAAGACATTTCAACATCCATGTTAGTGATTCGATGGAATTTTCTGATATGAAGGAAATGCTGACAGAGTACATTAAAAAAAACTTACAAGGACCAATTCCACGAAGCCGACTACAGGAGCATTCTTTCAGAGATTTCATCAAGAACCATACCAAATGATGTTTCGAATACTATTTTTACGAAGAAGATCGATAGACTTGAAGAATTGTGCGAATATCTGATCGTCAAATTTGATGAAAATAATAAAAAATATAAGTTCAACATTTCCAAACAATATCATGCCCCATGACATCATCTCCTCAGAAGACACATCAACTGGACATTCCAAGAAAGAGCAAGAAACAATGAAATCAATTAACCTAACAAATTTCTGGAAACATGAGCCTGCATTATGGTTTAATGTTGCTGAATCGATTTTTTAAAACTCACGGAATAACTTCACAGAGAAATAAATTTGGGAAAGTGATTTCAATGTTGGACTGCAATATTGCGCTCTGGGTTGGTTTTGTAGGTCTCTCCGTATATGTTTTTTCCTAATATCCATTCGTCTCAAACACACTGTATTTTTCAAATATTCATCGAAAGATTTTAATGTGCCGCTGGTTTTTCTGCTCACCCTGTAATAAATTATAATATTCCATTTGGTACAAGATATTTGATCTGCCTCTGGAATTCAGCTCGATCTGTAAACGCACTGAGATTTTGATCTGGCTCTGATTCTTCAGGTCACCCTGTGATACATTATAATATTCCATATGGTCAAGATATTTTTTCTGCCTCTGGTTTTGTAGGTTGGATCACCAGAATTAGTGTGAGTGATAAGATATTTTCTTCATATTATTCTCTTACCTGTGGAGGAGCAACTGCTGGAGGAGTTCTGTATTCCCGACTTCCTTTGCTCAATGTGCCACCAGAAACTGAAACTAACATTTAAAATACATTTAGTAAACACCAGTTGGTGACTCGACGACTTTTTAACAAAGAGATGCAGCTATGATTAATAAATGAATGTACTCAAGATATGAATCATTACACACAGATTTCCAGTATGAAGGAAATATTAATCATTCAAAATATCCCGAGTAGTATTCAATAGTCTTCAATTGTATTGAATGCCCATTTTTATTCATTGGATATTCCTCATTCCATTCATGAGTGACTCGGCAACTGCGCTCTGCCCTCTCTAAAACTAAGATACCAAGAGACTGTGACTTTACTTCTGATTTTGACACTTTTAAACCATTCAAAAATTTCTGAAATAGTAATTAACGTTAAGGCCAATATGTAGCAAATAACGGATGAAGTTGAGTATTGTAATCCGATTTTAACAACCGAACCCAGCTGCGTGTCGTTCAAGACTTTTCGTGATCGCGCTGAAATATTACCGATTTTACTCGAAAATTATACATCTGATCGATATCTAACAAGAGCACAAGTTTTCTGCAAAGATATGTGGATGTTTATAATTTTATATTAAATAGTTGAAAAATATACATACAAAAAAGTTTAAGCAATATTCAATGTAGTCCCACCCTGTATCATACACGCCCGAATGAAATTTTGGAATGATTTTATTTTCACTGCATTGGGCATAAAAAGTCTAGTACTTGTACCGAATTAGCTCCCTTAGGAGACATTTGTCTGTCTAATTTCGGGACACCCTGTATATGATATATGTGGAATATGGATATATTCGTATGTTTTTGTGGAACATGACGGAATTATTTTGATTCTTAAAAAATATATATTCGTGTTGATTTTACATAATGAATGATCAATATAAAACATTCACTCACCGGAAAAAAAAACGGCACCAAAAAACTAAGGCAAATTGTTCGACCTGTAATTTTTTCAATTCTTGTCCGATTTTGTTGAAATTTCGACCAAATCGTATATTCATGTTTCGGAATTTCAGCATGAATATTAATTCCTGGGAAATGCTGATGGTTTGATCATTATACAGGGAAAAACAAAAGTTACTATTTCACCCTTAACGTCTCAACGCCCTGTGGCATAGGTGAGTGGTTGAACTTAGCTTCATTATGTTTCGGACTGAATAGTTTTTTGATTTACATCGATGACCATAGTCACGTTCGGTATTTACATCGCAGATTAGAGCAGCTTCTAGTCACGTGGTCACAGATAGATCGGAGCAATCGGCAATAAACGAACGAAGTGGACATTTTGTTGACAGTGTGACGGTAACCTAACCTAACCCCATTTATTTATTTCATTTATTTCCATTTCAATTATGAGTGTACCAGAAACTGTGCTAAATTTAGCTTTTGTTTCGGGACATCAAATCATTTTTTATTAGGAACGATGTGCTTTGAAAAAAGTTGAACATTTTGCCGAATCTGACACCGTGAAGGTGTGTGTTTTGTCTTGCTCAGAATCAAAAAGTTGTATTTCTTTCATTATGAAAACGTTATTTTGAAAATACGAATACGAGCACAACGGCCAGTCATACATAAACATTTGAACATTAACCTCACAAATTCAGATCAATCGCTTTGCTCGGTCAAAATTCTCCGAGCATTAGGATCTTTGTCAGATCGCTCCGATTTTATTTGCCAAACGAATGAGATCTACTTCCCCTACATCTAGATGTCATAAACGAACGATTCAGATTCATCAGAGCAGTCTGATGTAAATACCGAACGCGACTCATATTTTAAGAGAAGATGTCAAAGCTGTTAACTTTGTTTTTCTGCAACCGACACAAAAGTCGTCCATTTTGATACTAAAATTAGCTCTTAAATTGACGTTTCTATTACTGACACAAAAATGGGTATGTTGCTAGGCAACATATTTAGTTCCTAGGAGCTAAAGTTGGATTTAAGTTCCTAGGAGCTTAAGTTGAACTTTAGCTTCTAGGAACTAAAAAGGATATACTGGACGTCATCAAGAATAAACAACATTGTGACGGCTGGATATTTGGGCTGAGACGCATACCTACCTGATTTGTTTCCGATTTCAGCAGATTTGGCATTTCATACCCATGCTGGAGATATAAATACACCTTACTATAGTTTAGTATTGGAATTATAAACATCTCAGTTAAGTATTTTTGTTTTGATCAGGGAAGCCTTCAAGATTCAAATACTTGCTTGATCTGTATTACATTCGTTATTCTCGGGATGGATAACTTGTTTTTGAATATTCACGGCAAGCAATAGTTTTTTTGTCTCAAACAACGATATTGTTTAGCATCATTTGATTATCAAGTCAAACACAGTGTATATTGGAGAGGAATAAATAATCACTATTATCATCGTTGATATGCTCACTAACTTTACATTTTCCACGTCTTGTTCCTATAGCTGGCACTGGCGCGGTATTTGCCATTAGAGCACCTGGTCCATACACAAATATGTCACTCTGTATTTGTTGTATTTATATTGAAACTACAATTCGAACATCCTTGAAAACCTAACCTGCTGTTAATGCAGGTAGAATATTCTCACCACACGGATTATTTGTCAATATTTGTTGCATTGCATACATATGGCACGGCATTGGTGGTTACTTCACATGTTTATTTGAGTTAAATGTTTCGGTTGCAGGAAAAATAGCATGTTTCATTCGGATCAAAAGTGACTCTATTCGAATCGCAAATTTTTGCTTTCGCTCGGCTTCGCTAGACGCTCCGCCTCGCAAATGCAAAATTCGCTTGTCAAACAAAGTGTCACTTTTGATCCTAATAAAACAATCTACTATTTTATTGGTTCAAATTTGTTTTTTGCTCGTGCTTATTGGTCATCTCATCAAAACAAACCGCTCAGAAGTGTTCAATGACATATGACAGACAACTCTTGATTCACTTGCCTTTACTGGAAGTTCTGGACACTTGAGGTGGCGTAGGCGGTTTGGTGGTGGGCGCGGGCCCCACCATCGGGTTCCCGCCCATCGAGTTGAGGGACTGGATGCTGCCCTGGCTGGAGCCCCTCTGCTTCTGTCTGGGCGTGCCGCCGCTTCGGACACCGTGGCCGATGTCATCGAAAACTGACGTCAACAAATAAGAATATGTCGTGGAATTCCATCCATTTATTCATTTATTTATTTATTACATTGTTCAACAGGTTGCCCCATTTACAGAACAGGAAAAAGGGACAAAACAAGAACATAATTATGCATTGCATATTAAATGAGCATAATGGATAGATGAAACAATATGACATAATAAAAATATCCTGACTATCTACTTATTCACAGATGAAGAAGAAAAAAGATCAAAAGTTTTGTCATGAGTTATTCCACAGTTGAACAGATCTAGATTCCTAGCCACCAAGTTATATGTACTACAAATCTTATACAAAGGTGAATTTTAATATACAGTGTGTGCGATTTCAACCCGCAACACCCTTCTAATTCGGAACCCGTCGACCGATTTTCAGAAAAGAAAATTCTATAATATGCTACTCAACGAGCTCTAATCGAAAATGTGGACAAATTTGAAATATTCAGATTTTCAAGGCCTACTTTTGTTTGTTGAAGAGGTCAAAATTGCAAAAACGACTATTAGGCAACTATTTTTCGAAACAGTGACTAGCCTATTTCATTCAGGCATAGCTGAAATACCCCTATACGAAATTTGAACGCAAAATCTCATACAGGGTGTTAGTTATTCGATGGCAAATTTTGATATTTTTGATTTTTCGAATTTGAGGAGTTGGTATAACCGGTGAAGTAGTTATTCAATAGAGGAAAACATCGAATACATAGGTACGAAGTTTCATTGCTGTTACTTCTACAGGAAGATCTCTCTAGAAACGTGCCGCGATTCAAACTGATTTAAGTTAGCGTCAATACTTCCGAGAATATGTTCCCTGCTTAAAACATATATTTCAATTGTTTCTTGGAAATAATAAAGATGATGATGAAGACATTTGGAATAGGGGATTTGAATAGCTGTGTGTAAGGCATATTTTTTCGTATTAAACATTTTTTAACCTTTTTCAAAATGGCGGAAATGCCGTTAAAAAATTCATCTAACCCACAAGGTTGCCTTTTTTCATATTCTGAGAACATATTTTTTGCACAACTTTTATCAAAACAGTTTTGTTCTATCTTCATTTGGTTGATAGTTATGGGACTCTAGAGTTGGCATTTTCAAATAAATCTCAACTGACCCCGCTGTAACAAAAATTACGTCGGCTAAGAAACAAATTGTTTTGTAAACAAAATGAATTGGGATATGTTTTGCATCCATATTAAAACCGATTAAAACAACTCAGAGTTCCACAGCTTTCCACCAAATGAAGATAGAAGAAAACTTATCTGTTACAATTTGTTAAAAAAATATGTCCTTTCAGAATACGAGAAAAAAAATGTAACTTTGTGAGGAAAATAATTTTCCTGACGCATTTCCGCCATTTTGAAAAAGGATGAAAAATGTTTGAATATGAAAAAATATACCTGACACACATCTATTCAAATTCCCTCTGCCAAATAATTTGCATTTGCAGTTTTCCATTTTCTGTTATCAGCCGAGGGTCGGAAGAATGAATCACCCTGTATTATCAATATTGGTCTTACAAAAACATTTAAATAGGCAAATATGAAGTATTTTTTATGATATTTTTGGGTAAATTCGTATTCATTTCCATTATTTCTATAAGACTACACAAAGAAAGCATCAATTACATTCACTAAATTAAATGATGACAGCAATATTCAACATCATCAAAACATCTCTATCAAAACATCAACAAATGCCTTGACCACCATGAGAAGAAAAGAAAAAAATTTTTCTCAAAATATATTTTTTATTTGACAAAGAATGTCTCAATAGTCATTCCCATGTCATGTATTTGCCATGAAGTTCATTGAAGGAGGCCTAATATCAATTATCAATTAATTCATTGTGAAAAAAACATCTTGAACCAAGTTATTTGAATGATGATAAGTCAATATAATAGCTGAAACCATTAAAAACGTCATGAAGAAAAAACTATTATTTATTTTTGAATATTAAAGTATGCCTCTCAGTTAATGCAGTCATCACCGTGTTTCCACCAAAATATCGAATTTTGGAGAGGAGAAGAATGTTGAAAAATTATAATGAGGTGTAACAAATAGGTTGAATGATGACCAAAATAATGAAAATTAAACCCTTTTGGAAGAGGTTCTCATTTGTATGAATTTATTGTTATGGATATGCAGCTAATAATGTAGGTTGACAACCTATTTGCACTATTTTTACAATGGAACAATTCTGTTGACATAATTACTCATTTTCAGGGCAACCATCAATAACACACTTAGTACATGAATAACTATTAGTTTTTTTTTCATATTCAAGAAAAAAATCAGTATAGATAAAAAAAAACAGTGATTGTTTGAAATTCTGAACAGAAGTACTTGAAATAATCATGATATTTCTAATATTTTTTTAATAATTTTTTTGCACGGAAAATTGATAATTCCTAATAAGTGTTCCAGAAGTTTTCAGTCATGCTGATATCATTTTCTCGATAAAAAAATAACTGATATTACTGATTTTTTGCACTTTCAATAGATCAAAGTTAGCCTTGTGAAATTGCAATGAGAGTATTGAGTAAAGTAAATCACATAGTGTACTACATGTAAAGAGAAAAAAATAAATAAAATCAGTGGGGGACACACTGTAGAACCTTAATATTGAAATACAAATATTGGTTGGATCTAAAGGTAAAGAAGAGTGGGGTGAGTAGGAACTAGGATTTCAAAATCTTGACTCTGGACTGGAAATATTGGGAAATATAGTGATCACACCATGCCATTGATCTATTCTGTAATGAAAAGAAAAAGTTTGCAAATTTCAATATTTGTCTTAAAAATACCTGTTTGCTACTTATACTTCTCATATCAATTGTGATATTATTGACAGAGGAAAGTGAGTCAACCTACATGGATTCAAAGTAACAAAAAAATCAAATTGTCATCTACAACAGATTTTTCATTATGAAAATATAAAATATTTGTAAAGTGAACAAGTTGAATTGGCCAGGAACTATTTCAGTTCTCCTCTATAATTTAAGAAATTTACCAAAACTAGCGTTGGTAGTAAAAAACAACAAATTTAACATGTTTGTTCACAGGTGATCTATTATGGATCAGACAATTCCTTTCATTTATTAATTGAATTATTACCTAAAAATTGCATTTCATTAGTTTATGGCCAAAACTCATAATGGAACAGTACTGGTGGAAATGAGGGTGGAAATAATACAAGGAGTTCAATAACAATGTTTTCCAAATCAGTCCCTTTTGGATTTATTTGCCTTCTGAAGTGGACATCTGCTTGAGAATTTCAGTTGATACTTCCCAAGTCATTCAAATAAAATTTTGACAATCTTGACTGTTTACTTTTTAAAAATAGTTAAATAATTGAATAAGTACTGGAATATTCATAAGAATGAATTTCAATTCAATATATGGATTTTTTCCATGATTAGAAGAAAATAGTTTTGATTATCTCTTGTACTGTAAAAGGTTCAAGTCAAATTGTATCAGAAGCATACCTATCAGCTGTCTCTGAACAAGGGGTTACAAAATGTTTTCTTGGTATTGTCATCCACAGATATAACTGAACTGATCTAGAGTAGGAAAATGAAAAATTGTAATTTTTAGGATTGAAAGAGCCACTATAAATCATAAGCTGTCACCTACATTGATGAAAATGTAAGCAATACATAGAAGTATAGATTTGAACTAGAATTAATTGAGGTGTGCAGTGGTATTCCTCATATTATTAAATGCATATCCAATATTAGTATGTCAGAAATAGTATAGAACTCAACACATATTGTTCTCATCCATCATAAGCACCATACGTATCAGAAGCACTTGAAAAAGGGCATTTTGAAAATAATAGAAATGCATCTTATAATAAGTTTCAGGTTATGTTCAAAGTCACACTGTTAGACTGGGAGTTTTTATGTTTACAAGATTATGAGAATGTTTGAGTAGGTTGTAATTTCACTGGAATGATCACAATAGCCTCTACAATACCTATCAATATCCAGGAAGACTTGTGTATGAAAAAAATCTGATAAAAACCCAATAAATATAGACATACAAATAAGTTAGTAGGAATAATGAGACTTCAATCACACAAACTTGAGCAATATAGTTACTTTTCTAATCTTACTTGTATAATCAATGGGTTTCCTCAGATACTTTATTGGTTTTTCAGGATTAGCAGGAGCAATAATTTTGTACTGCCTATTAGTTGATTTATTAGCAGTTAGAACACCAATCTCTCTTCTTGCCACCTTTTCCTTGTGTATAGCTACAGTCTGTGAAATATGGTTCATTTGACTCTCCATTTCTGCTAGCTGAGCAGTTTGTAGTTCAAGTAACTGCAGGAAGTTATAAGCCAGAGTGTTGATTTGATAAGCTACACTAGCTAATGACTGGGTGGTATAGTTTTTTGTCTCCTCCAGAGCCATTCTCTTGCTGTCATTTTGGAAATAGTTGGCTTCACAATACTCTGCAACCCTCTGTAGGTTGGTGTGATTTTCTGTGAGGTTGCTACGCCCTTCAGGTATTTCTGATCTAAGTAGGGCAGCTAGTTCGGCCATAGTGTCACAGTCACTTACTACACCTGATTCTCTACTAGGGCTGCCTAGAAATAGAATGTAATTCAATTAAATTGATTCAGAGAATCGAATAAAATATAATTACAGATCCAAAACTCAATTAATGAGGAAATGAAAACATGAAAACATACCTTGAGCAAAGTATACACTCATAATATGAATAAACTTGTAACTTTTTCTTGCATATTAGTTTCTCTAGAAGAAAAAAACATAGAACTTAGAGGAATTTGAAAAAAAATATATAGTTTTCACGAAATTTAAAAATAAACAGTATTTTCGAGGTATTTTCAGTCCACGCCTAGCATAAAATAAACATTTACCATTAAACATACATTACATAGATTTTAGATTATTAAATTAACATTAACATTAACATAAAACATAAGCGACGTCCGAGTCAAAAAAACTGTCAACTGAGAACAGTGGTGAGAAGTGACCCGTTACCCGTGAAAACTACGTCATCCTGATCACTGAATTAATGTAAATACTGGAATGATTGTCAAATTGAATTAGTTGATTCGATTCTCACACACTACGATGGCGTATTGGTGCCATGCACATTGAATATCAAAATATAATCTTGAAACTTCGAGAATGAAATCTCGAACAACTTTTCTCATCATTGCAGCCGTTCCCTTGAATATTCATTTGAATTCCATTAGTAAAATAGGCTTCAGTGAGTGCATATTTTGTATTCCATTGGTAAAACTGGTGTCGGGTTTTGAATTCCATTGAAAAACTGGTTCGAATATAGTTTAGAGCTCATTGCAACAATTGTCTAACAAGCATTGAACTCAATTTGAGATCATCATTATTGCTATATATTGCTAATAGGTCGTGCGAAGTCAGTGCAATTTTAAAATGGCGGAAATATTGAATAGGAATAGTTTGAAAGCCAAATTGTTAGTGGCAACTTGCAATCATATTCATCATCATCAAATAGTGATGAGAAGTTGGAGGTTTCAAGAAAACAAAGGAGAAATCAGATTTCATAAGAAATAATTTGAGGATGCGGAAAAGTTATAAACAAAGACAAACCAACTCATTCGATTCAACCTTCAACAATAATTTTATTTCAATATAATTTCGTAGTCCATTGGGAATGCACCAGTTCAATTTTGAAACATTTTAAAGAGAACGAATAACGTAGTGCGAGTGCAAAACTGGTGCAAAACCAGTGCACCACAAGGTTCACGAATGAAATTTGCTATGAGAATCATAAGTATCAAATTTTGTATTTGTCATGTGACGTATCGACAATCGAGTCCACGATACTATCGGACCAAGATCCCAGGAATGTAATCATTCCAGTGTTTACTTATAACTCAGTGATACAAGAAGGCTTGTCAACAGTCGACCGGGATTTTATACACGGCATGACTTGCCACTTGACACTTTTGACACAATAACATAGCCTCATTTTTAAGTCTGAAGTCCTGGCCCCCGAATCCAGAATCCCAGAAAATGTTACACTTTGTAACAAAATACTGTAGATGTTCTTCACTTATAACTCAAGTTCGACCATTGCTGGTAAGAACATCAAAGAACCCGATGCAAAATGGCCCTCTTAGAACATTCCTGTCACCAGTTCTGAGAAAACCAACAATTCGAAATGATTCAAAGGTAAAACATGAACTTGTAGTGATAATCTGGTACAGTATATCAGTCAAATTGTAGGTTTCACAGTTTCTGCGTAAAAGTGGAACGATTGCCGCACAAATCAATGCTAATATCTCTACAAATGGACATAAAGCTGTTGGGTATTGGCTGCTGACTTGCAGTGGCATGGTCTTTGTTGCAGTTGTCCTAGGTATAACGCTGACATATTTTCTTGTTCTAGTTAGTATTTGCATAGTGTTAGATGAGGTAATCAGGAAAACTGTACGTTGATCAATATTGTGCAATCATCAAATCAACAGATAATTTGTCCTATTGTGATACTTATTTTTGAGTGTAGGCCTAGGTGAAAGTACAAAGATTACAAATTTCAATTAGCCATTGCTTTGTATTATCAGAGTAGAGGACCTATGAATTACTTCATTTCAGCTGTGATATATACTTTCTTGTAATTCATTAGATCCCTGATTAGATCTGAATAAAATTTTCCACAGATCATTTTTTTGTGTGGTTTCACTCCATTTTTGATCATTTTACATGGAAAGTAATTGAAATAACACTAGTTAACAGATTAATTGCAATGTTTGTCAATGGAGAAGGTTCAAATAGTTTGGAGATGGGGGTAGGAAAAATAATTCTGTTCATTTTGACATTGAGGTGTATATTTTCTGAATTATTAACTCATGGTTTTCAATGAAATATCTGATATTTCAACCATTCATATTGATATCATAATTTTCTTGATAATTTTAATAGGGGAACTCAAGGATTCAAATTATTTTTCAAACTCAACTTCAAAACCATGCATCTTTAGAAATTTTATTAAAATTTAGAAATAAATGTCAGCATATCTAGGTACCTACTTCTTCAATTTGAAAATTGCTCAGAATTTTCTAGTGATATAATGAATCTAAACTTGTAGGAGGAGTTACAAGACTAACAGAATCAGGCTTATCAATGGTAACTTGGAAATTGTTGGGAGAAAAAATGCCTAGAACAGAACAAGAATGGCAAGAAGAATTTGAAAGATATCAGCAGTATCCTGAATTCAAAATGTGAGTATGATAAACAAGAAATTTTTATACATCCACAACATTAAAAAACAACCTGAGAATGTTGACCAAGTAATCAACTACCTATACCTACTCTTAATTTTATGCAAGATTAATCATTTCTTGTATATGTGGGACATTTGTCAAGGCTAATTCACTTATTTCTGTATTTTTCTCCCCAAAAAACCTTGGGTTAATTTGTATTGAGAATGCTTGTGAAATAGTAGTTTATTTATATGGGGTGTCTACATACATTAGACAAGCCATAGTTTTCAGAGTTCTGTAGGTATATACTATTCAGACTTGGCAGGGGTGTTGTATAAAAAAAAATCATGAAAATTTTCCATATTTCATACTCTCCCATCACTTCTGGTTTCACCTAGAGTCACTGGATGGTATTAGTCTGGGTATAAGATGAGAGTTCAGAGACAGCTGAACTTCTGTCCTTTACTATTTTCTATAATACAATGGTATGAGTGAATAAATATATATATTCTGCTGTTTGTCTTTTCAATTTCCTAAGTAGCACCTGATGTATGTAACAGCATGTAACAACATTTGAATATGACAATATAGACACATATAATACTTGAACTCCAAATTCGTTTTGGATAGTTGCTGCCAAGCATCTTTTGAAATTATTAGTTATTTGATCTTTATATCACACTGCTTCCTATGGACTTTATATTGGTGATCTAAAACAATGACATAAAACAATAATTAAATTATATGTCTCAAAATCTCTTCAATATTTTGACTTGGCTGATCCCTATTGAAACAATTAACTTGAATTGCTGATCAATGTAATAAACAACCATCATCTATCTTGTGGACCTTGTTTTCTTGTTATATGTAAGAAAACATGCATTAAACATTATTCAACTCACCAAAATAAAGTATTCCACTTTCCAATCAAATTTCTGGAACTCAGATAGCTCAATTCTCAAGGCACTAGCTCAACTCTCTGGCCAAGGAAAATGTGTTGTTTTATTTGCAACTTTTCCGATTCCCGGTGCCTCTTTCCATTCTGTCTCAGATGGAATGACTGTTGACAGTTATCAAAAAAATTATATTTGATTGACGAAAAACGAAACTTTTTGAAAGTAGAAGACATTTTTATCTTGAAGTTCACAAGTTTGTGATTCTTTCAAGTTAGGCAAGTTTCATATGTTCATTCCCAGATGAAATTCTCTCCATCTCAGAGAAGTTTCTCCAATCAGCCCAATCACTGCTCCTAATATTCTCTTATGTGAATTCTTCCATGCAAGGTCATGAAGATTTGCGTTTTATTTGTGAACGTCATTCTGTTCCCCCACCACCGCTACCACAATGGAACAAATAAAACGCAACTAATGTCACAACAAAACATAACAACGTTGACGCCATTTTATTACTAGCTTGATGCTTGAGATTCTTGAGAAATGAGACCTCCTTTGAGCACAGTATATTATCCTTTCACGAGGAAAGGATACTATACTGTGCTTTGGAGGCAGTCCAGCTGGATCATCTATCGTTCATGTTCGTTCGTGAAAACTCGAGAAATACTGCAATTGGATTGGTCGTTGTCACGTCCATTTGTCGAAGATAAGTTTGTTGGGAATGAATCTATATAAAATTGACATAATTCCCACGATCTTGTATGAAGATAATCATAGATACGAATATGTTATATAATGGATATGTAAGAATGTTATGTAAAAGAAATATAACTGTTATATGGAACATCACTGTAAATTCGAGGGATATAAAATTATGTAAGTTTTGTATCTACAATGGGGGATACCACTGATTTTTTAAAATGACATTATCGTGAACTCTATACTGAAAAACTACCAGCGAATTAATTTTGAATTTTGTCATTCATGCTAAGACGATGGAAACAATAAATTAGAATATGTCCATTTCAAAACACACAATTCCTGCGCCATTTGAAATTTTGTCAATTCATTGGTGAGACTAGTGCGACGTCTTATTCCCAACACGCCTATTGTCCTTGAAATGACCAATCACGCTGCAACACTGCGGAATGACGATGGATCAGAGAAAGATAGCTACATTCGGGACTAATACGTCACGACTCCATCATCATATTTGGCTGTTTGAAATATCGAATGAAATATGCTGATTTCAAAACGATATAGATTCGATTCCCTTCAACTTTAACTCATAATATTGATTGTACATCAAACGTAAATCATGATTCGTCGTTTGAAAGAGGTTTGCACGGATTTTTTCTCTCAGTGGTCTTCCCCATTTACAGTACAGTACATTGACGTCAATTTAGGGGAATTAAGTTATGGAATATCCGTTATATGAAACTGACGGCATATGTACGTAAATATTACTTATTATTGTATGTGAAACTGTACTTGAAATGGTCTGTTTTGTAAATGGTTCTTAAAATCTTCTGTTTGAAAATGGGCATTCATTTATACTTTTTTCCCATTAGTTTATGAAATTATATTTCAATTCTGACGTTCATAAAATGTATTTTCAGATTCAAATAATTTTGTATGAAAAAGCGCAGAACGACTATGGTGCTCTTGTCACAATGCAAGGTGTGTGGTTTAATAAATCTGAACATTCAAAAACACAAACAGTTGTCATTTCTATGTTCGAACTCTTATCTAATACGTCTCTGCTAATACCATCCAGTGACTCTAGTTTCACCGAAAACGACCCCAATTTTTTGATTTTTAAATGGTACACCCTTCATTTCATTTCATAATTAGTTTGGGATTATCATAATGCATTCAACGAAACCGGGTTCAATGGGTTTATTTCAAACGATAAGAATGTAGGATTCGAGATGTACCAAAATGGTGAATGATGTATCACCACCAATTTCAAAATGATCCTTCACCAAAATTCCTATTCCTTTTGATATTATTACGATGCTTTTTTATATCCAGAGACACGGCAGTGTCTATACCAAGTACTCAAAAGTTACATCCATCATAAGGAGTCTGATGATTTTGACTCACTTCAAAACTTCAAATTAAATTGAAACTTCGCACATTCATCAAGGACTGACATGACGTGACTGACAGGTATGCTCCTTTTTTTCTTCTCTGTTAATGTGAAAACACGACTCAGCCTTCAGAGCTAGTCGACAAAATAGGGAAGTTGCCTTACGATAAATTTTCATAAAATAAGTTCCGAACTCTCCAGTTTTATGTCCATGTTGTATAGAACGGCGACCGATAGAGTCCAAGTCATTTTCAATTTTTAATTAAAGCAATTCGTAATTTTCGGGGCAGCAAACTGTGCCGTACATTCTGAATCTAGTCTGAAAATAGCTGATAGCTAGCTAATAGCTAACGAATGAAAAACGAATGAAAAATATAGAGAAAGAATTAAAACTGGTAAACAAAAACATACATAACTCAGGGAAGGAATGCACTCGGAGCAGGAATGCAGAGGGTTGTTGGCTTCACTCTGACAGGTTATGGTTTTGTTATTTATGCGTTGAAATATCTTGAATAAAGCTCGATCCTAAACGAAAATATCATTGAATCAATGAATCACTATCGGCTTCATTCAATGATACTATCCTTCCTAATTTAGAGTCATCGGTCAGAACAGAATGAAGCCGACACCCATGGCTCCTTCCTCTTGTTGTGCGTGTCAGTATTTTAAGCGGTGTGGACGGACTCGAAGTATTGTCACTGTTGCAAGATATAATCTGCAACTTGCCTAGAAAATAAATCCGTTTTATTAAGGAACGAATTCATTAGCAAAAAAATGACTGACAAGTTATGGATAACATATTGTAATATAACGATAGTGAAAAATTATAGATACTATCGTAAAATATCATAATTTATCTTTATTAGTAATCAACTTCATTCAGCCAATGAGAGATTTATGCATGGGAATTATTCATAATACTTGACAAAGTAGGAAGGAATAATACGTATCTATTAATTTTTCACAAACTTTGAAGTAGAACCCACGCTTACGCCAACTAGTGATCCTCATTGCCGGATTAATATTAATAATGAACTCAAAATCGTGAATTAAAATTTATTCAGTAGCTATGGTAAGTCATCCCCTGTCTCAAAGACATACAATCCACCTCGTCGATCTTGATAGAGTTAGTTTTGACGTTGATGTCCTCCTCGAGCTGTATCTGCGTCTTGAGCAGATACCTCAACGACGCCTGCGCTTCGGCCATCTTCTGCTGTAGCCATGCCACGTTGCCTCTCATCTCCCCCACCTCGCTGACAAGTGACAGCTCCACCAGGTCCTTGCACAGCTCGATGCCGGGTCGCTGAGCGCGGTTGCCGAGTCTGGTGTGCGCCAGAGCCATGTAGCCCTCTTTTTCGCTGATGGACTTGTCCAGACGGGTTGTGACTCGCTTCATTTCGTTCGCTTGGCGTACTATCTATCAATCAATCAAAATATTTTTTTTCTACAAACGCTTAACAAAGTAGCCTTTGACGCTTTCAAATTCCAGCACAAAGTTGACGTTTTCCCAGAAATGTTATTCTTTGACAGCATTTGCGCTCGTGAGCGGAAATATTGAAAAAACGCTCGCTTATCTCTGTAACCTATAATTATCTATTCTTGAAAACCCCTAATTCTTTCATGATGGGAAATAGTGACAGTGAATCATCAAACACACCTCCTTCCTGATAATATAGCAGAAAGCACAAGAGTTTGAATCTCTTACCGGAGAAATCAAGGAAGAAATATGAATTAGAATATAATACATCCATAAATTGGTGCCACTCCGAGATGGTGAATATGTATTCATAAAACGTTTTACTGGCTTATTTTGGTAAAAAATCAAAGACTCTGAAGTCATCAACTCATTGGTCTATATATTCGATGGTACGTATACATGCTTGAATGTTAAAGATAAAATCGGAATCAATAAGTATCTGAAACTTATCGCATTTCTCAAGAAACAATCTATTGGATATAAAGCGAGAAAAATCCAAAACATTCACCGCTGAAGATATATACCAACAAATTTCTACAAGAAGCTCCCGATGAAGCATATCTGTTGAAAACGATGAATTATACATTATATTTAAATTCTTTGTTGTCATCAGAAAGACAGTGTATCTTTATTTTATTGCATCAATGAGTAATGTTCAATTTGATTGCAGAGCTTATCGTACTATGGCTCAGAGGTCGGAAGCTCAGGTTGCCACGCTGGTGGTCCAGTTTCAATTCTCGGTAGTCCCGAGCTGGCTTGTCAGTTATTTCAATTTTTTTTTTGTTTCCTTTGGACATATGGGATAATATGGATTAGAACTTTCTCAACTATTTCAATCGCTCATACTTTCAGGGTAGTTATTTCCAAAAGCTGCGTTAGTAGAAAAAATCTTGTGTATATTTCGAGCACAAAGTGTTATTGCCGCTCTCCAAAGATTACCGCGCTCCGCTCCGCATCGCGCGGTAACTTTCTTTGTCGAGCGGCAATCTATCACTTTGCGCTCTAAACACACAAATAGCTATTTTTCTGTGATGGGAAATTTTCTTGACATTTCATCTCTGTTGACAGGTTATAAAATGTCAGTTTTTATGAATTAATTTTTTCCAGAGGCGTACAATGATATTAACCGTAAATATCGATAAATTTTCCCACTGTGACGCCACTGAAAATATTATTTCAAATTTGATCGCATCAAAAAAAAGCTCCATGTTACATTTAACGAAACCACGAAGTTTCATTGAAATTGGTAAAGAGGCATTTGAGTAATGATTTAAAAAACGATTTTTCATGGAAATATTAATACCCTGTGCCCCAAAAACGAAGTTAGGACACATGTTTATATAAACTTCATTTTCTGAACTAACACAAGGAATCATCCCCTGAGGTTTGTCGCACTTATTCACCAACACCCTGTATATCCGGGAAAAAAGTAAGTATTTAATGTAGGTGCTCACGAAACATTAATTGAGATAACTCAATAACCTCAATAAGAATCATTTCAAAATTCTGGGACTTTTTTCGTCTCCAATCATACTGAATTTTGGCACAATGAAAGCTTATACAGGGGCGTTATAAATATAAATAATTATCACATCCAACTTCGACATCCTGTATATCAAAAACGAAGCAAGTTAGGAAACATGTTTATACAGTGTCTTTCAAAAGTATCGGAACGGTCTCATATTTCAGGAACGGCTTGAGAAAAATTCACGAAATTTTCCAGAGGGTGATTATTGATGATGTCCGATTCAATGGTGGCATCGGCAATGTTGCCAAGTTTACAGTTTTTCAGATATTAGGAGTAACTTTATTTTTTCAAATGGAATACCCCATTTATTTTTATTGCAAATAATCAAGCGCCTCCATATTACTTGAGTCTCTGAATACCAGATTCGTAAATAACGTGATTTTCGAAATATGACAACATAGCATTTTCGTTAGCGACGCCTCATTACTTATGTCTCCAAATATCAGATGTATTGCAATGAAAACGAATAGGTTATTCCATTTGAAAAAATTGAGTTACCCTAAATATCTGAAAAACTGTTGATTTGGCAACATTGCTGATATCACCATTGAATCGGGCATCATCAACAACCATCCTGTCGAAGTTTTCATAAATTTTCTCTGAGCCGTTGCTGAAATATGGGACCGTTCCAGAACTTTTTAACGAAAATGCTATGTTGTCATATTTCGAAAATCACGTTAATTACGAATCTGATATTCAGGGACTCAAGTAATTGAAAAAATAAAGTTACTCCTAATATCTGAAAAACTGTGAACTTGGCAACATTGCCGATGCCACCATTGAATCGGATATCATCAATAATCACCCTGTAGAAAATTTCGTGAATTTTTCTCAAGCCGTTCCTGAAATATGGGACCGTTCCGATACTTTTGAAAGACACTGTATAAACTTTATTTCCTATAATATCACAAGGAATCACCCGCTCAAAGGTTGTCGCAGTTCTTCACTAACATCCTGTATATACAGGGTGTCCCACAAGTCATGAATCAAAAGAAGTGGAGTGGTAGAAGGGGTCATTTTCAATCAAACTAACCGTATATGTTGATGGTTGGTAGGATATAGAAGATTTTTCAACGCATTTTTAACATGTACACTTCAGAACGGAAGATTTGATGTTGAAGAATAGAATCGTATTAAGAGATAGAGCCGAACCCACAATTTATAAACTGAGCGAGTATCGAAAAGAATCTTATTCTAATTCAGAACCAACACGAAACAAAAAACTTGTAGATGATGAAATTCATTTCGGACATATTTTGAAAGAAAAGGACTTGAGAATCGAATTTTTAGAGCAGGAATATTCAAAAATCCAAGGTTCCCGAGTGGAAGAGAGTGAGGAATTCAGGAAACGAATAGAAGAAAAAAATAGAGAGTTGGAAAATAAGTTAAAACAAAAAGATTTAGATACAAAAGTCAGAGTTAGCAAAATTCAAAACTATTACCAGGTCCTTCAGCCTTATCATTCAATATTTCGAGAAGAAATAATTTTGTAATCAATTTATCGTACCCTTTTACCCACTCGAGGAGACGCTATGCACTCTCATAGAAAAATCAAAGACAGAGAAAGATATATGGATGTACTCTTCCCAGGACTTGTGGAGAAAGGAGGATCCTTTATCTAAGCGAAAAACATATGCTTGTCCTTGTCTGGCAAAACATATGATTTGCTTCAAAATCGTTTGTGGTTATGTTTGATTGTCACTGCTTGTCTAGTGTCCGTACTGTAGTATACAGAAAACGTCAAAACAGCAGTGTCAAGTACATTTAGAAACTCTAATGTATGCATTGTACATGCCCCAGCATTGAATCACGTGATGTCCCAAAGTTAACCTGGTCGGACTCTACCAACCTACCTCAGAATGCTGCACCTCCATCTTCGTTTTGGCCTCTTTCAGCTCTTCGATCCTTCTTCTAAACGCGTTGTTCACCGCGTGATACTGGTTCTGCAAGTCGTCGATAACTTGTTTCAACAGCACGTCCACATAGGACCTCAATTGCCTGGCACTGTTGATTTCTTTGGCTGACTTTTCGATGTTCTGTCTGGTGTATTGCTCCCATTCTTGCAGGCTGATGTTGGCAGGGTCCAATGGAGAGAAGCCATGGTAGATGCTGAGGTTCAAGCTGGTGTTGGTCAGCGAGGTGTTGTGTTGGTCGATTTTCATGACGTTGGACTTATCTTCCAGGTCTCTGTCCATGAAGTAGACTGTGGACCTCAACCTCCTCACCTAACAATCATGAGTTAATTTCCAACATTCAAACTTTCATTCCTCTGTATATATCGAAGAACATATTTCAACATTTTCCTCTGAAATAGGGCAGGTCCGGTTAGGGGTGCCTCAGGGGTCCGTATTAGGGCCTATATTATTTTTGTTTCCCATCAATAATCTTGAATCTGAAATAATGAATTCCAAACTTACCGCGTATGCGGATGATATATCCTTACTTATTCCGGCAAAGAACACTAAATCTCGTAAAAATGAATGCGAAGTTACTTTAGCTAATGCCTCTGAGTTTATCAGTGATCACGACCTATTTTTGAATCCACAGAGAACAACAATTATTCGATTTCATAACTATCAGAATATAATTGATTCTTTACAAGTGAATATAAATGATACAACATTATTAAAAGTACCGATAAACTTGTTAAATTCTTGGGCTTGATTGATTGATTGATTGTCTTTATTACCCCAAGAAACATTATTGTTTATAATAGGGATATATACAACAAAACATACATATTATAAAACATAATAAATCGAAACAATAATAATTGCACATTGTGGACTTTTGATTTCTAAATTGAATTCTATTCAGTATATGATTAGGAACTTAAAAATTGTTTTAGGAAGAACACAACTTTGTATTATATACTACGCAGAGGTTGATTCCAGATTCAGATACGGCATCTGTTTGTGGGGCAACAGAAGCTTAGCCAAAAATGTCTTTATCAAACAAAAATATATATTACGTTGCATTTTTAGTAATTCCAAAATGTATTCAGTTTATATTTACGGTAATAGGAACGATTTCAAATCAAATAAGGATTTGCACAATATCAATACTCGTAGGAAAAATGGAATTCACACCCTTGCTGCCAGGTATAAAATAACACAGAATCCTCGGAATTATATAGGCCCCAGAATATCTAATCATCTACCACATGATATCAAAACATCTTGTGATAATAAACAATTCAAATTTGGTTTGAAACTGTTTCCATATAACTTATTACTGACTTATTACTTTGTAATACCTTACAAAGACTGACTATTCCTATACAAAATGTACTTTTGTCGTTCAAAGGAAAATAAATGAAAAAAAAAACTGGAACCTTTGGCACGATAATACACTAAACCACTGTTTTACCACTAACCAAACCGATTTTGTTAGGGAATTCAAAAGATAAGGTGGACACACTCGAAAAGTCAGGAATATGTGAAATTGGTTGTTATGATTGTGATGAAACATATAGGCCAAACCAGGCGTCCCATTAAAACAAGGTTCAAAGAACACTTAGCACATTTGAAATATGGTAGGTTAGATAAATCGTGTGTAGCCGAACACATGTTCAATCACAATCATAACACACATATTAATAACCTCAAATTAGTTAAGCAAGTTAATGATTTTAGAAAATTAGATGCATATTAAAGCTTAAAGATATTTGGGAATAGTAATAGAGTAATGAATAGTTTAGTAATATAACATGTGAGCTCAACTATGATTAACATTGACTTGACGGTTATTGTCTATTTACGGTTGGGTAGACATTTACTTAGTATATAAGTAGCCCACTAGGATAGAGAATTTAGTTTTAATCTTCTCCTGAAGATGCTAACATAGTTAGCGAAACACGTGTCGAGGTGTAAAAAATCGGTTTAGTTAATGGTAAAACAGTGTGTAGTGTTTCTCTGTGTAGTTTGAGAATTCATTGAACACATTTTTCTTATCTTGTTGAAAAGGCCACTATCATTGTCAGCAGACCGAGAGTGACTGATGGTACCTGATGGGCAGGATCAGTAATATCTTGCGCCTAATGACAATTATTGAGGTGACTGTTTAGGTGTTACATTTTTTTGTCTGATGGCATCATACTAACCTGTTCATTGGCTTGTTCCAGAACTCTCGTCAATAAGCTTTGGCCTCCTTCTATAACCTGCAATTCCTTTTTGAGTTCCTTCTCCACAAAATCGTAGCATAGATCGATTCCCAGTCTGCCTTCTCTCAGTATGAGGCATTTCCTCACTGTCTTCAGAGCGTCCTCTTGGATGGATCTGCAGTAGGATATGATTCCAAAAAGTTTTGCTGTTCTTGCAAAAACGAGTAGATCACTCGAATGTTTTCAGTAAAAATTACCTGGAACAGTCTTTGATCCTTTCCATGTAGGTGCACAAATTTTCTATCTCCAAACTTGCCTCTTTGCGTTGTCTTTCGATTTCGCTCTTGTTGAACTCGATATCCTTGACTTTTTCTTCTAGTTTGTGGTCCACCTCACGTTTGTTGAGGTCAGTCTTCTCTTGGACTTCTTCGATTACTCTGTCGCTTTCGGCGATAGTGGAGTCGGCTATAGTTTTAGATAATTTTTCATTTAGAAGGAATGTTGATTTTTCAAATGATATTATGTGCACATATGCCCGAGATCACCTTTCGCCAACGAACTATAAGGAAGACGGAATCCCACCGATTGTCCTCAAGAAATGTGCTCCCAAACTGACACCTGTTCTCTGCAAGTTGTTCAACTACTCTTACAAATTGGGGATATTCCCGTCCAACTGGAAAATTGCAAGAGTACAACCAGTTCCTAAAAAAGGCATAAAGACCCTACCTAGCAACTACAGACCGATCGCACTGCTATCTATTATTTCAAAGATCATGGAGAAAGCTATCAACATCGAGCTCATGAAATACCTGGAACATTCCGGTATTATCAACGATAGGCAATATGGCTTCTGTCATCAGAGATCAACTGGTGACCTGCTCGCTTACGTCTCACATATATGGCAGCAATCTATTGAAAAATATGGTGAAACCTTATCCGTGGCACCTGATATCTCCAAGGCATTCGACCGAGTCTGGCACCACGGACTCCTCGCCAAGCTTCCATCTTATGGCTTGCATCCCCAGCTATGTTCTCTGCTAGCTAGTTTCCTCTCGAACAGGTCTCTACATGTAGTGGTCGACGGAGTTTCATCTGACTCTATTATCATAAATGCTGGTGTTCCGCAAGGATCAATTCTAGCACCAACACTATTTTTACTCCATATCAACGATTTGTTGGAAGCAACTTCATGTCCAGTACACAGCTTCGCGGATGATAGTACCCTCCATACCGCCTTCTCTTCCAGGGCTCCAATTCCAGCCAGGCAAATCAGAAACGAACGAGGGAGAAATGTTGACAACATAAATATGGACTTGGCAACAATTCTCGAATGGGGAATCAATAACTTGGTAGATTTCAATGCAAACAAAACACAAGCATGCCTTTTCTCTAGAAAAGCCGATCTCACTGTGTCCAACATAAGCTTGTCAGGAGTAACCATACCTTTGAAGACATGTCGATGATTGGGATTACTATCAGCAATAACCTTTCTTGGGAAAATCACGTGAGATCAATTGCTAAAAGTGCATCCCAAAAACTTGGTTTTCTGTTTTCGGGTCAGGAGCTATTCCACTTCCAGTCAGCTGCTTATGATCTATAAGGCACAGATCCGACCTGTCCTGGAATACTGTTCCCATATTTGGAGTGCAGCACCCAAACATACCCTGACTGTTGGATTCTGTCCAAAGAAGGGTAATTCGTTTCGTATGATTGTTCACTAAATATGAAAAACTCGCCATAACAATCATATTCCGTGTTGAATTTTCTAAATAAAAATGAGTCATTAAAGTAGATCATGAGTATATAAAGTGTCCAATGACAAAATTAGAAGAGCAAGTACCTGTAATGCATCCAACACGAGGGGAAAGAGAAGGCGAAATTTCGAACTTTTTCTTGAAATATCTCGATAAATAGTGGTTTGTTCACATTTTTATTATCAAATGCATGTTTTTGAGACAAAAATACGTACGTACCAAAAAACATTTTCGAAAAAAACCCATCGCATGATAAGTGCAAAATTACCATGCATTTGATAATAATAATAATTTGGTGTCCTTATTCAATAGAAGAGTGTACTTCACCCTGATGTATCTATACAAAATATACAACAATATGGCGCAAGACTGTACTACTCTTCCATCTGTAAAATTACAAATACCAAACTCAAGAACTCGGGCGAGTAATAACAAAACATTTGCAATAACTACATCTCGGACAAATTATCAATTGAAATCTCCACATGTGAATATGGCAATATCATGTAATGAAAATCAAACATACTGTGACATATTTCGAGTAAGTGTAATTACATTCGGAAATAAAATCAGAAGTAAATTATCACAAAATAGTGAAACTGTACTGATCCAGTGATTATTCTCATTTAGTCGATGAGTTGTACATGCTTATATATATTTAGTTTTGAGTTAGTTTTGAGTCAGGTTGTTTGGACTAGTACTGTATTTTTTGAAAAAACAGTATTTTTACTGTGATTGGTACAGAAAGTGAGGTACTACTTCAAACAACCATTCATGCACACACAACATGTAATTGGGGTAAAACCTGTTTGTTGAAATAAATAAATAATAATATGAACAAACCACTATTCACCGTGGAAGAGAAAAATATTCGAAAATGTTCGATATTGTTATCTAGCTGAAAAATTACCTAATTTTTGCTGGTCCAGGCAGATTCTGGTGCGATAACGATTGTTCAGATGCCATTCGCTGATAGTGAATTTTGGCGGAGGCGGAGGTACTGCCACCAACACTTTTTGAGACAAGGTAGTGTGAAAACGGTCCATTTTCAATGGTTGTGCGTGAAGTGAAAATGAGGATTTTTGTATATTCGGTTTGATCGATATGCCATAGTGACTGGATTGTCAACAGCTATTCAGGGTTGCCTGGGAATTAATCCAGTGAATAGAGGAGGTTCACCTTACAAACGGTCCGGTAGTTCTGAATTTTTGATATGTTGTCTGTGTTCAAAATGCAAAATGCACAATTCCCCCTCCGCGCCCACTGCCATATTGAAAAAACCGAAAAAAAATCGGAACTTTCTCCAGATTTTTACTTATATTATCGTTATGGTGCATTTTAGCTACAAAAGAGTCCCGTTAAGTATTGTAGTGGATCAAATTTCCTATAATCCATGTTTTGAATTTTGATCCTAGGACTGATAGTTATGAAGATATGCACTTTTTAAAAAAATGTAAGAAATCGCATTTTCCGGAAATTTGTCAAACTTCTTACTTTAGAACGCTGTAATTCACTTATGGCCTATTCTAGGGAAACAAGTATCGGAAGAAGATTTGTAGGGAATTTAATTACCTACAGGAATGCATGTACAATTTTTTACACCAACCCTACGTAATGGGGGTGAAAATGAAAGTTGAAACAACGGCATATTGCTTGTTTGGCTATTGTGACTCCACATTGTATCTAAAAATATTCACTAACTAGTTTCCAGTTTAAGCTTGAATTTGAAGTTTATACTAATCCTACTTTGAATTTTTACACGACACAGCTCGATGCTTAAGATGCAGGTACTATTTCAATTGATTACCTACCTGATGAGAGGGGATGTTCAATTTCAAAATACATTTTTCAAAGATTTATTTATTATAACATTTTGATTTTTTTCATTGAAAAATCAATCATTGTCGGATGAAGTACGTATATTTACGAAACCATGACATGAATGTCGTTATTTTCTTCGATCAGTTCATGAATCGGAGTAAAATGAAATATTCTCATAACCCGAAAAAACTGAAGAATAAATTAGTATCAGGACTGGAATGAGTGTTTTGTTTGGTCATGTTAGCTGACCTAGTACATCAATAGATATCAATAATCTGATCGTAGATTCGGAATCTGAAAAAATCGTATCGAACCTCTTAAAGACGGATAACAGTGAAGTTTTCGTAAATTATATTCGCTCACTAATGAATTTGAATTTATGAGAATACTACACAACGAACAATAACTGTTTGTAATAAACATAACAAAAGCAGTATTACAAAACATTTTCGAAGTGAAGCCCTCCAACATCAATACATTTTTTGCGAATTATTTGAGGGTTATTTCTAACACTAACACATGCAGCAGTGATTTCCCATAAAAAATTTCTTCATTATGAACTTCTTACTTTAAATGATCTCATAAAAAATAATCTAGCTGAGTTAGATCAGGGGATAGCGGTGGCCAATTTACTGAACCTCCACGGCCAATCCATCTATTGGGGTAATTGGCATCGAGATGGTTTCTAACTTTAACTGAAAAGTGAGGTCTAGCACCATCATGCTGAAACCATATACCTCAGGTATTTACACCTTGCAATAGATCCGGTCAAGTATTGACCACGAAATTTAGGTAAACATCACCAGTTAAAGCCCAAACACAAATAGAATATCTGCGTATTCCTCATAAGTGAAATGAAACGGCATCATAAGCACACTCTCAGAACTATAGTTTGACCCCAAAAACACAAGAATAATGAATGAACACCAATAAAACAAACGCTGATGACAGCTGAACAATGGGTTTCCATAATGAAATTCTGAATTTGACACAAGCCTAATATTCTTTATACACAAATATTATAAGTTACTGATACGGATTTATTATTTGAAAGTTCAATCCGATCATTTTTCAACAAGTTTTTAACTTTTCTCAGTGCATTTCGAATCTGCGATCAGATCATTGTTATACTAGATCATCTATTCTTACAGGAATATAATCATAGAAAACCGCATTCCAGTCCTGATACGAATTTATTTTCAGTTTTTTCGGGTAATGAGAGTATTTTATTTTACTACGATTTACGGACTGATTGAAGAAAATAACGATATTCATGTCATGGTTTCGTTAATATTTATTATATTACCAATTTTGATAGTACTTTATCCGACAATAATTGAATTTTGAAAGAAAAAAAATAAAATAATAATTAATTACGGAATAACTAAGATAGTGCCAGGAGATTTTTCAACAAATTGCTATACAATTTTTACCGTAGATGTCGAATCTGAGTTGAAATTTTTTGTTATTATTATACAGGGTGAGTTATTCTCACAATAACTCAACATAGGGGAAAAATATCATTCCGGTCCTGATATTGGTTTCGATCAAAGGGCTACTTGTTGATGCTTTTCAGTGTAATTCGTGTACCAAGTTTGAATCTAATCGGTTAATCCCTGTATTTGATATGGCGGATTGAATTTTTTGTCAAAATCCACAAATCACTCTGTATGTCAATAACGAAGCGGTTTTGGACATTGGTTTATGGCATTTTGCAATCATATTGACAGTCCCTATAACCCCACAAGTCTTGTCGGTTTTATCTCCGGACACCCTGTTTAGCCAGTTGTGAATCTGCATGAGATTGTCTTGAGCAGATTTGGGGGAGCAGCGTCTCTACTCATTCTGATGGGCTCCAGACTTCCATCTTTTCTGCACCAACCTTACTCGATAGGGTCTTTCACAATCTCCATACACTCCATGACCTGGTGGTATGTCATCAGTAAGTGGAAATGTGCGGAGTCAGTGGTTGGATGTAGTTTAGCCAGATTGAGTTTGGTGGTAATTGTTTTCAATCTGCTATAGCGAAGGAAGCTCAACGATTGTTCTTTACTGCCACCATACAGGGATACCAAGATTCTCTCCCCTGCTGCTGAAATTTCTTGGGGACTGGCAGCAGGGTCCTCGAACCTCTCCGCTTGATGGGTCTTTCCTAAAAAGTTGGCAGAATTTATTCTTTCCGAACCCAAAAATGTTAGATGTGGTGTCGCAGCCCGATATTGCGTGCAGGAGCAAGATACAGCCTTTGGAGTTGAACTTGTAGGAGGAGGCGGAGTAGATTGCGTCTGGATGTTTCAATCTCGCTGTTTTTTCGAGGTAGACATTGTTCACCACATGTGTTGTGCCAGTCAGTAGGACGAGTAGGTCAATGTCTTCTCCGACAATGATGACGGCGTCGTACGTGGGGGGACAGACATTTAGCTGGGGCAACTATCAACCTGTCAGCATCCTCGGAAGTTTGGTCTGAGCCTATATTTGAAGCTTGCATTTCATTGCAGAGCAGCTTCACAAATCGGTCCTTGTTCCCCTCATTGGCCAGGGATTTATCCTGAGGTACGGTGTTGACAGTGGTTTTGTCAAACACCACGTCTGATGATGAGTTGCCTTGTACCTTCTTGCTCGTTCAGCAATCATGGTCCCTTGCTGAGAAGGATCTGTAGTGTAGCCTTCAAAAATCACCATCACATTGGTGCCATAGTGTCGCTGAACGTACTTGAAAAAATTCCGGAACATGCGATTTTTATAAAATAAAAAAATCATATCTCCGTAACTATCAGTCCTAGAAACAAAATTCGAAATTATAGGAAATTTAATCGTCTACAACATTGAATGGAACTCGTTTGTAGCTTAAATGCACCAAAATGAAGATATAAGCGAAAATCTGGAGGAAGTGCCGATTTCGTTGGGTTTTTTGATATGGCGGAGGGCGCGGAGGGGGGGGGGGAGTTATGCATTTTGCATTTTGAACACTCAATAACCATCCTAGATAACATAATTTTCAATGGTTGTGCGTGAAGTGAAAATGGGGATTTTTGACTTATAACGTTTTGATATTATTTTGATGATTCCCAGAAAAAATAAAGAGATGACCCTTCAAGAATTCAAATTTATTTGGCACATGGAGTACGGCCACAGGCAATGGGGTAGAGCCATAGGGGCTGTTTTCCTGATTCCCGCCGCATATTTCTGGGCCAAGGGTAGATTAACGCCTGGACAAAAGAAGCGAATCCTGGCATTCGGAGGACTCATAGGAGCACAGGTAAATATTTTCATCAAATTGGCCATATTCCAATTTTTTTTCTCTTGGAGCGCACGAAAGGAAATCCCTATAATGTTCCATAAACATCGTGTGCGTACCTAAGGAAGAAAGGGAGAGGAGGTAGGTATTTTTAAAATCTCTTGGAGCGCACGAAAGGATATTCCTATGATGTTCGAGAGAGTTAGACATTTTTTGCTATTTGTTGGGGTCATTTGTCAAATGCATTGACATTTCTCCATGAAGTTGTTCTTGCTGTTATTTTCAATAATTAACGTTTCAACAGTTTTTGATCTTATTGAAATACAATAATGAGGAAGTTTCCTTTAGATGAATTTTCATAAAATAAGTTCGGAACTTCACAGTTTTATGTCCACGCTGTACAGAATGGCGATTGATAAAGTTCAAGTCGTTTTTATTTTCAAAATAAAGCAATTTCTAATTCTCGGAACAGCAAATTATGACGTAAATTTTGAATATAGTCTGAATATAGCTGATGATGAAGAATATAGCTAACGAATGAAAACGAATGAACAAAATTGAAGTATAAGAAAACTTGGCGTCGTTGTTGATTATATCATGAAAAATAACGATGATCAACTAACTTACAAAACAACTATAAACTGTAGACATTGGCTAACGAATAACTGTAGATCAAAAATCGACACACAAAAACATACATAACCACAAAATCATATCAGCTCTTGGTGTGCCTGTCAGTATTTTGTGTGGTGTGGACGGACTCAACGAATTATGCGCTGATGCAAGATTTAATCTGCAACTTCCCTAGAAAATAGATCCATTTTATAAAGTAACGAATTCATTTGAAATAAAATGACTTAAAAGTTATGCTTTCACATTATCATGTGAAAGTGAGAAATTATAGGTACTACCCAAAAATATCAAGATTCATCTTTGTTAGTAATCAACTTCATCCTGCAAATATGAGATTTATGAAAATTACTCATGATACTCGACGAAGTTTGATCAAAAAACCTATTATACCCCATTGGTGTTATGATATCGTTGTATTCAAGTAATTTCCGGAAATCCAGATATATCGATGATGCCGGCAACGACGTACTGACGCAGGAAATCGTATTTTCACTCTGTGTGGATGTTGCTTTTCATAAAGTACGTCAATTAAAATACTTTTTGCATATTCTGGGAATATGAGTAATCATGTCACACTCGTGAATTTCTGAAAACAAAATTGTCGTAACTCGAAACAATATCACAACAATATCTTCTTCTTTAGAGACATAAAGACTAGAGATTGGAAATTAAATAACATGGCCAATTCATTAGTGGAGAAACTTTTGATTTCAATTGTAGTAACAACATTTTGTTAGAGGCAATCGATGAGGTTTCTGCTAATGAAAGAATGAAATTTGCTGCAAAAAGTTCTAGACTACTGTTCTCTACCTGTAAGGCAATAGTGAAACAACTACAGGGCCAAGACTTTAACTGGAAAAAATTCGCTAGCAGTGAGATGAAAGAGTTTTTCAAAAATTCCCCAGACAAGTCAACGTTTTAATGTATCAACTCACATTTTGCAAGCAATATGAAGAATATAGCCATTCAGGGGTCACTTGAAAGAGGAATCCAGCGTATCGGTAAAATTTCAGTTCAGTACGTTTGGGGGTTGCATAAAATCAAAACATAAATTCGAAGTTTAATATATTTTCAACGTATTTTCTGAGCTGAAAGTTAAAGTCACACACATTTTGAGCATCCGTTGCGTTGAAAATGAATTGAATTTCAGAATTACATTTTGATTTTAGGCAGCGAACCGAGCCATCGATGAGGTCATCAAGACGACTTGTCGGCGAGTTGATAGATGGGGAAGCAGACAGCTCCGTAGGTGCCAGGGCACAGTTGAAAGAATTTCCAGCGTGCGATTCGACTACATCGGCTTCTATCGTTATCGGCGATAGCGAGGACGACAGCGGCGAGGAATCAGAGAAAACCACTGACTCCTCTGACATTGAACCGCCTCCAAGAGATCGAAGGCCCCATATCTTCGTTTCCCATATCCGGGAAACCACTGACTCCGATGAAGAGGGAGACATTGAACCGCCTCCCAAGGGATTGAAGGGACATAACGGGGAAACCACTGACTCCGATGAAGAGGGAGAGATTGAAACTCCTCCAAGAGATCGGAGGCCCCATATCTTCGATGCCCCTAGCCGGGAAGCCACTGATGAAGAGGTAGACATTGAAACTCCTCCAATAGATCGAATGCCCTATATCAGGGAAACCACTGACTCTGATGAAGAGGGAGCCATTGAACCGCCTCCAAGGGATTGAAGGGACAAAACAATGAAACCACTGACTCCGATGAAGAGGGAGACATTGAACCGCCTCCAAGAGATCTAAGGCCCCATATCTTCGATGCCCATATCCGGCAAACCACTGCCTCCGATGAAGAGGTAGACATTGAACCTCCTCCAACAGATCGAAGGCCCTATATCAGGAAAACCACTGACTCCGATGAAGAGGGAGACATTGAACCGCCTCCAAAGATCGAAGGTCCCATATCAGGGAAACCAGTGACTCCGATGAAAAGGGAGGCATTGAACCGCCTCCAAGAGTTCGAAGGGACTTATCGAGGAAACCACTAACTCCGATGAAGATGGAGACATTGAACCGCTTCCTAGAGCCCCATATCTTCCACGGATGATGAGTATCTCTTGGCGGAGGCTTTGGGAGAAAACATTCAATTTTAGTTATTTCATGTACACATTTTATATTATGTTTTTTTTATAAATAAAGTTTAAGTGGACATACCTTTCGTTTCATTTCATTCAATACTTATTAAACCAAACCCGAAATACCCCTGTGACAAGATTATATGATAAATAAGGGATGGTGTGTGAGTGAATAATGGTGCTTACCCAGATGAAATATTGCCATATAATCATCTTTGATCTAGTTAGTAACTACTAGGGTCCCTTGATGTAAATTGACGTATTTGTCATCTTCACAGGGTACGCAAAGATCATAGCTCTTTTCTCTTTTAATGATCTAGCGACTTTGCTGTTACGTCACATTCATAGGCGTAAAAAAATCTTACAAAATTTTAATCAGCATTCAATCTTAATATTCTTGATAAGCTTTCCAACAAATGCAAATGAACAATGAAAGTGAAGAGACCAAATAGGGAAAATCGGTACATCAGCAAATTTTATGTGGAAATTACGTATGATACGCCAAAAAATGTCCTCAATATAACCTAAAAACCTACGAATGCCAGATATATAGTGTTTATCCCCAATTATAATCAAGTTATCAAAAAATTTTAGAGTCATGCCGTTGAATAAAACTCGAGATAAAACATAATGAGGAAGCCATGATATCATAGTTCATTATCGACTTTTTCGAGCAACCAACATGTCCAAATATTTTCGATAATCCATAACGAAATATCATGTAAATGTTGAAGACTTGGCAACAATGTGCTAAATGCTGAGAACTGACAAGGCACCGCCCACAATTCGTGCGCCGTATTGTCACGTATACTGGTTCAAATGTCCTCTAGTGTGAATTATAATAATAATTATTCACACAAATGTATTAAGGCTGTATGACACTTGTTAAATTTGATGACAAATATGTTAACAAAAATGATGACAAAAATATTTTTTATGTGTCATACAGTGAAAAAGGTGTTGATTTTGCGCAGATTTGCAAACATTCTTGTAAAAATATAGGACTGGTTCTAAATATTTTGATATTATAAATATTTATACTGTATGGCACATAGAAAATATTTTTGTTATCATTTTTGCTATCATAAATGTCATCAAATTTAACAGGTGTCATACAGCCTTTATAAGCAATATGCCACAACACATGAGGAACAAAATTGAGACAATTGATTTTTCATGGATAATTAGAAATATATATATTACCAATACATAATTGAGGATATTAGAATTATTCAAAAACTAATATATCTGGAGTTCCCAATCGTATTTCATCATATGGCAACTGTGCTTTTGCCTGCCCCCTCTTCCAAAACCGTGACATCGGTTGTTATTTGCGGTAAATTTCTAGGCGTTTGAAAATAACCGCGGTATTATTGATGATTTTAGAACCTTAAAATCTAAAAAAATATGGAATTGGAAGGTAGTTGAATGATGATTCTATTTAAAAAATAAGAACTACATTTGAAAAAAACATGTTGGGGCTGATTTGAGCTTTTCGTAAAGGGCTATATTCTTCATATCGCTTGAAAAATTTGGGTAAATTGGTACATTAAAACGTTGACATTTCTCTGAGGTGTTGAAAATATTCATTTTCTTGATAGCGAATTTATTCCAGTTTAAGGTTGTATGACCTATACAGGGTGGCATTGAAATAAGTGCAAATATTTCAAACACTGAGGAAGCTTGACGTGTACTATCGAATAGCACTCAAAAAACATTTTTTCTCGTATTTTGTTCAATTTCTCGTTAATTAGAAGAATGAGAAAAAATCTGATATCATAGGAATATTCCCTTAGACTGTATCATATCAATGTGCTGAATACAGTGTGGCCCACTTCTAATGGAAACACCCCTCTGTATCTTACGTAATCGTTGGGTAAGGATCCTGAAATTTGCTGGAGCGAGAGATATACCAAAAATGCACTCTATGACCAAGTGGGGTATCTTCAGTGATATACACTGCTCGCCATCAGCCATGGAACCACCCCAATTTCCGAAAAATGATATTAGGAGTCAAAATAGGTTGGAAATAACTTCGGATTCGGAATCAGGACGCCCAATTGACTAACTATTCATAGTTTTTCTAGAAAATTTTCAGTTCAGAGAAATTAAATTTTGTCTCACTTCTCATGGAAGCACGTAATTATTGAGGTAGGGTTCTGAAATTTGCAGGTGGAAGGGAAAGTCCAAAGATGAAGTCAATCACGTAAGATACAGGGGTGCTTCCTTTACAAAGTGCGACTAAATTTAATTTTTCAGAACTGAAAATTTTCCAGGAAACATGAATAGCTAGAGAATTGGGCGTCCTGATTCCGAATCTGAAGAGATTTTTGATCTATTTTGACTCCTAATATCATTTTCTGGAAATTGGGGTGGATCCATGGCTGTTGGCGATCAGTGTATATCACTGAAGATGACTCCACTAGGTCATTTTTGGTATATCTCTCAGACATATCTGGACGAGCCAAACGTGTTCTGTGTAGACGCTGTCACGAAGTAGCAGGAGCACTATTATAACCTATAAATTGACTTTCAGGGTTTGATGGGCTGGTACATGGTGAAATCCGGCCTGCAGGACAGATTCCACGCAGAAAGCGACGTGCCCAGAGTGTCCCAGTATCGCCTAGCTTCCCACCTCAGCCTAGCCTTCCTACTCTACAGCCTCCTCCTGTGGTCGGCCCTGGACGTTCTAATCCCTGCGCAGGGCATCGCGATAGCCAGCAAGGCGGCTCTGAAAGCCTCTAGGAAGTTCAGGATGCTGGCCCATTCGGCCAAAGGATTGGTGTTCCTGACTGCTGTTTCAGGTGAGAGAAATCATTGAAAAGTTTACGCCAACAATCCTAAACTCCAAACACTGATGAATGAATGAAATCTCGAATGGTGGGGATAATAACAGACACTTATACTGTCACAAACTGTAGGCGGGGGTTTGCCTAAGTTGTGTTCTAGATCCATTAGAGAATGAACATCAAAAGTGATAATGTTGAATGATACTCTGAAGGTTTTCAAACAAAACATACACACACATTTATTCTTGGCAATGACTAACAATGAAATCAAAACTTAACTTACCCTATATATACAAATGAACTAATATTCCTGTGAGGAAGGGCATCTTCTGTTCTGCCCGAACTCCGAAGAAGAACTTAAACTTTCCTGGCTCGTACTCAAAAAACAGGACTAGAACTCGAACTGGCAGTTCAACTCGCAGTCGAACTGGTAGTCGCACTGTCGAACCCGCTTCCTTACGTCTTTTAAATAGTTGTCTATATTTTCGGAAACGTGACAGTAAGGAAATCAGGTCGATAGTCCAGGTTCGTTGAAGTCAATGTCAAAAGTTCGTTCACGATTCGAAAATTTTGGAATTAATAAACAAAAACGTGACCGTTCAATGACTTCGAACCTTCTATGAATTTGAATGAAATTGAGGTAAATAACCCTATTCGTGACAATGAATTTACGGGTGAGTGCTCAGGCTAAATAACAATAGACACCGCGACTCATTCATCGCCAAAAGCAAGCCTTTGAACAAGACCGCTACTGAACCAAACTCTAGATATGTCGAAGAACTGTCAACCAAAACTCGGTTGTCTATAATAGAACAACAAATAAGTTTAACCTCCAGAATTGAAAAAAAAAATCCTCTTACCTCAGCCTAGCCTTCCTCCTCCACAGCCTGGAAGTTCTAATTCCTGCCCAAGGCATCGCGATGAACATACAAGGCCAAAAGCCTCTAGGAAGTTCAGGATACTGGCCCATTCGGCCAAAGGATTGGTGTTCCTGACTACCGTTTCAGGTGAGAGGGCAGAGGTCGGAATAACTGATGATTGGTGGACACATCGATTCGTTCAGAAATCATTAAAAAGTAACCGCCAACCATCCTAAGCGCCAAACACGAATGAATGGATTCGCGAATGGTGGGGATAATAAATCGGAATTTATATAAATGTGTATAATAATTTATACGCGCTTTTCATCAACAAAAGCAAGCCATTGAACAAGACCGCCACTGAACCAAACTCGAGAAATCTCATTTTACTTGATTCTTTGGGATTTTCTTCTCGTTTCTATAAAATAAAAATATTCGTATTATTTCAATATATTTGTAGTGGGACAAATCAGATGATTTGCCCCAAAATTTCACTGCGTTTAACAAATTTTTCTATCAGGGAGTTCAAAAGAAAAATCCAGTAGCTTGTCAGAACTTATAACATCAAAAAGTTGAGAAGAAAATGGAATTTGTCTCTTCTCTCTCCATCTCCCTAAATTCTAGATGGCCACAATTCATGTTCAAGGTGCCTTCGTTGCCGGTCTAGACGCCGGTTTGGTATACAACTCGTTCCCTAAAATGGCCGACAAATGGGTCCCGGACGACATCCTGGCGCTGAGTCCGGCCCTGGACAATCTGACGGATCCCGCCATAACGGTGCATCGTAGGAATGTCGACAAATTATCACTTTATATATATATACAGGGTGTCCCAAAATTGCTGGGACACGAGCTACCATGTATAGAAGAGGTCAAAATAAGTTGATTGGACCCAAGGGTTCCAGAGGATTACTTTCCTTTTGGTAATCGAAGAAATCTAAAAGAAATTATAGAAGGGTTAAAACCACCCTCACCCCCTGAAATTTTTTTCAGAACTTTTTTAGGAGTCATAATACGGTTCTGAAATTTTTTGAGCTTGAAGAGTACCTAATCATTACTTACCTTAATTTTATTGCTCTTGTGAAAATTTGGTATACCGCATAGTTTCGAAGAAGAAAAAATGTTCTCTCAAATAATGCATTCTTCGAAATAATGCCGTAGGTACACCAATTTTCGAAAATTCATTGTGCAGAATTTTAAAGTTATAGAGAAAAAATCGTCTCCTATTCGAAGGGGCGTAGCTCACTTTTGAATCACCCTGTATATGTAGAGAAAACGTCACAACTCGAGATATGTCGACCAAAACACGGTTGTCTATGGAACAGCAAAGATTTAGGACTTATTATCAAGAACTAATAACCTCAAAAAGTTGAAAAAAAAATGGAATTCGTCTCTTCTCTCTCCATCTCCCAAAATTCTAGAAGGCCTCAATTCATGTTCAAGGTGCCTTCGTTGCCGGTCTGGACGCCGGTTTGGTATACAACTCGTTCCCCAAAATGGCCGACAAATGGGTCCCGGACGACATCCTGGCGCTGAGTCCGGCCCTGGCCAATCTGACAGAGAACCCCACGACCGTGCAATTCGACCACCGGATTTTGGGCACGACCACTTTGGGCGTTATAACGGCGGTATGGCTGCTGTCCAGAAGAAGGATATTGCCGCCCAGGGCGTACACTGCCGCAGCCGTGTTGGGTCTGCTGGGTTATTTGCAGGTAATTTCGATTTTTTTAGATTTTTTTTCGGGATTTTCTCTCCTCGTTACTATAAAATAGACATATGAGTTTTATTTTAATACCGTTTTTCGAGCTCCACCATGGGGATTTTTTTGTATGTTCTGATTCCGACGAAAAGGGATATCCTGTAATGTTCAGGGAACATCGTGAGAACCAAGGGAAATTAGGTGAGAATTGGTGTTTTTCTTGAATTTCTGGAGGTTATATGCCTCGGGGAACACCTCCCTTGGCAATGTGTTCCAGAGCCTCGCTGTTCGTTGGATGAGCGAGTCTTTGGAAAGAGATGTTCTGCAGGTCTCCAAAGTGACCACGAAGTGGTGCGAAGCCTCAACTCGACGGGTTAATCTCGCGGGGACTGCCAAGGAAGGAACAATTGTTGATATTTCAGAAGAGCATCGCCAATGAAAATATATAGAAAATAGAGCCAGAACCCCCAACATTTCTACGGTGTTTCAGGGAAGTGAGTGAGTTTGTGAGCGAGGCATCACCCACGAGACGAATTGCCTTTTTTTCACTGAAAATGACATCGAATTTTCTGGCAGATAAATGTTCAGCATGATAATGCGCAGCTTTGTCCTAATTTAACCGACCTCGTAACTCTTATAATAACTGAGATCCCCATGGTGGAGCTCGAAAAACGGGCACCCTGTATACACCTGATTATTTCTTACCACTAATAATAGACTGGGTCGTGTTTTTTGTATGAATTGTTCACACTCAGCATTATGAGGATCCCCCAAATAGGTACCATCACCATCCACTACACGGATATGAGCTTGCCGAAGAAAATTAATAATAATAATAATAATATGTCTTTATTTATACCACGGTACAAAAGGGCGGAATTCAGTCGCACACGCACACATTCAAAGAATGCAGGAGGGTGCTCTTCCATTCAACCTTACACGAAGATAAATGAAAAAATATTCTCAATTCGAATTGAAAAGAATGTAAATACATCGTGGACCAAAGGGCGGGGGTCACGTGGGTGAAGTTGTATTGAAAATCCCGGGGGTCTCGAATCATTATTTATTTATTTATTAACGGATGAGCCAATTATGCAATTTACAAAAAGGAAGTATAAAAATACAGAGCACATATATATTATTATATCTATGAAGAAGACTAACACAAAAAACAAAAAATGTAGAAGGCTATAACGAATAAAAGATAAGGATTATGAAATAAGTGATTAACAGTTTTTTATCGCTTTACTGAAAGAACATAAAGATGAATTGAACAGTTCAATTTGGTAATTGTGTGTATTTGCTGTTTTCGTTATTCTATTAATGGATTCATTTGGGCCATAATTTGTCCTACAGAATGGTATCTTTAAAATGTCATTATTTCTGTTTCTTCTTGTATTTGCGGAAAGCGTAATCAGAGCAACAATTTCAGGAGAATCAATGTAACCATTGATAATTTTATGGAGGAAGTATGAAAAATATATGTCGAAATAATCAATTGGATATGACTTTTGTAGTCTCAAGATTCAATTTTCGTTAACAATATATTTTGATAACGTTCGGTGATGGTGTTTTATGACAATTAATAGTATAAAAGACGTCATAATCTAATCGCCGAACGAAATGATTGGACCTGTTTCAAGTAACTAACGCAGAAAACATAAATTCGTCGTTCCTTCCGTTGTTTTGCAAATTTGTTATGACGACGAATCGATTTTTTTTTTCGCCATTTACATAAAACAGGTCCAATCATTTTGTTCGAGTTTACATAATGACGTCTATTATACTAGTAATTATCATAAAACATCATCGCCGAACGTTAACAAATGATTTTATTAAGGAAAATTGAATTATAAGACTAGGAAGGTCAATATCCAAGTGATTTACCTATTCGGAATATATTTTTTATACTTCTATTTAATTTGAAAATGATATAAAATCAATGCCGAACATTAATGTTTGATACACACATACTTCAATCCCCTAAGACCAAAGTACACGGGGATGGTTGGCCCCCGATTCGACCAAAATTTTCGGCGAACATATCATTATGAGTTTTTGTTGATAATTAGTTGAATCAATAAAATGCGAACATTAACAAATGATAATTTTAAGGTAAAAATTGTCTACGTCGAACGTTGAACTTTGGTCCACAATTTTTATTCGGCGACCTCATATCCGGTGGCAAAGGCAGATTCAGCCCCTGGAACCGGGGATTTTTCTGTGAAAAATTCCAGATATATTCTATCCTACATGATGTAAGGTCATAACAATGGAGAAAACAGATCAGAGTTAATCTAGAATATTATGAATATCAAGACTAATTTTTAAAATTTCAAAAATGACTATTTGGACTCTTTTTTCGAAAATGTATTCAGGCATAACTGAAATGTCCGTAATACCTAAGAGTATTATTTATTTATTTTTCCAAGTTGAGGCCACTCAACAGGTCGAAAACCCAATAATAGAGTAGCACAGATCACAAAAATTAACATTAGTTACAAATTGTCGTGGCTTAAGAAAAGAGAAGAAGTGAAAAAAACAAAAGTCAAAGGTTCACCTATATAAGAAACAAAAAATGATCCCCTTAAAATATCTCGAAACAATAGAGGTGTAATCAATAAGGTACATATCATCTTTTTAATGAACTTATTGATATTTTTTTCAGACATCTCTTGAAATGACTAAGGTTTTGCGAGAATATATCAATAATTCTATTATCACTCAGAGTTGAGTTATGTGATTTAACACATTCGTGTACAAGAGAATTCAGAACGTAATTTGTTCTACATTGAGGAGTCAGAAGGAGACTTCTATTTCTAATGATATAAGGAGAACAATTTATGGATACATAGTGAAGACAGTATCTGGGATCGATAAGGTTATTGTATGTATATCAGACAAACATCGAAAAACTCTCTTCTTTGACTTAAATTTTGAAGTTTATAAAATTTCAAATTGCTTTCATATGGAAAGTTGTGCCGATTTCTATAGAACTTGTAGTTTAGTTTGTTGATCAATTTCCGTTGGATATTTTTGATCCTGTCTACATAAGTACCATAAATGAGGTTCCATATTGTCGAGGCATATTCCAAAATGGATTTATCAATCGAGTTGTATCAAATTATTATCGATTTTTATTTTTGAAAAGATTGTCTAGCCGTCAGAATGAAACCCAATTTTCGCTGAGCTCTTTGTATAGCATTTTCAATGCACATCGAACTGAAGCTTACCTATAATCAAAAATAATACCAAGGTCTTTGATTTTATTTACGGCATTGAGATTTTGCCCTGATAACGAAAGATTTCTGAAGATGGGGTCACGTGTTCTAGTGAATAATATTTATTGACACTTTTTAAGGTTCAAGAAGACTTTGTTTTTTCTGCAATAGTCCGTAAAAGTATCGAGATCAATTTGGAAATCATTGTAGTCACTGTCATTTTTCATTTTCTTGAAGATTTCCATATCATCGGCTGTTGAAAACATGCAACAATGTCGTTGAGAAATATATTAGAAAGTAGAGGTCCCAAGTGTGACCCTTGAGGTACTCCAGAAGAGACAAGTTCGATGGACGATCGAACTCCATTGACCACTGAAAACTGACAACGATTTCAGGTATGAGGTCAGGAGTCCCAACAAGCTTCCATGCACACCAAAGTTTTCGAGCTTTGTGACAAGAGTTGGCTATTCAATGGCAAATTTTGATCTTCTTGTATTTCAATTAACTCTGTATCAATATAAACTGGGCGTCAATTGAAACGTTAATAGTGAAATTTGGCATCAAGTTTGACTTCTCGTAATTTCTAAAATATTGAACGAATTTTCCTTACAGCTTCTTCTAAATTGATCAGGACCCATGATACAGGGTGAAACAAAGTTTCGTGCATTTTGAAAAAAATTTCTCCGCCCCCCCCCCATTTTGTCGGAAGACCACGATGCTCATATTTTATTCGGGCATTTCATAAATAGCAACCATACCTCGGGACGTTTTCGAGTTTTTGCCAAAAACTACTGTGGTTTCCGAAAAAAAAAGTTTTTGTATTTTTTTTAAATATACTAATTTTAGAGGAGTTCCATAAATGGATGCTTTTATGCATTTCAGGAAAGCGTTGGAGCAGATATGTATACCAGGTTACTCAAAAACAATCAATAATTTATTACTTCGCAGTCTATGATAAAAGTTTTCTACCTTAGTGAGCAGTAAATCAACACATCTCATCAACAAAAACAAACAACGATACCTTGTTTCTATAACAACGTATTGTTGAAACAATGTAGGTATGCATAGGTGTTATATCAATTGCCAATTTTCATGAAAACGTCAGTGTAATTCGGGTCCTAAAAAATTTAAAGATGCCTCGTTCAAATCGGGTCGAAATGGAAAATATCATTAGGTAAGATCACTTTAGTGATATAAACTATAATTCAGTACAGATAATTATTATTTCAGGTTACGACGATTAGGATATACCCAAACTCATTTAAGTACCATTTTCAATAAGTCAGTCATGACAATAAATAGACTGATTCATCGTTTTGAGGATACAGGTAATCAGTCCATTTAAAAAAAATGCAAAAAAAATCCCCGTTTTTGAAACACCCCTTATAAATAATCTGATTTTGAAGCCTATGACCCCCCCCCCTTAGTAGTGGAAGGTGGAATTTGGGTAGTTCTTATACTGCTAAGTGCGAACAAAACAAATGACACACAAAAAACACGTTGTAGGTTTCCGGTCTATAATTTCCTCATGATTTTTCTTTAGGTAACACTAGGTATAACTACACTACTGACGTATGTGCCTACTGATATAGCTGCGACACACCAAGCCGGCTCTTTGACGTTATTGTCGGCCGCTGTATGGTTGACGCACGAACTAAAAAAGTTACCTAAATAAGTATTATTTTTTAAATGTGTTAACATGAACATGTGAATTCACCAAGTAAAGGCGTGTTTTTATATTCATATGATTAATTTATCTAATACTTACTGTAGTATGTCTTCTGACGTCACAGATGCTCCGATGAAATGTAGACTTCAACTGAATATAGGAACGATTTGATTTGTACAGAAATGTAATTATCGAAGTTATGATAGGCCACGTTTATACCGTATGGGTAGTTGGTATGCTTACCAAGCAGATCTAACTAGATTTAGACCAATTGCCTCAGTTAACGCATGTTTACACCATGTATTTTCAGTTGACTATCGTTACCAACTTTGTTTTGATTCGATTATTTTTTTGAGGTTAGGTTGTGGAACTCCACTTGAATTCGTGAATTAAGAATAAAACCTTTGGGTAGGATATGAAATTAGCTAAAATTGAAGGAAATATCATTATGAGAACTCATGAAATAACTGCCACTTGCACTCAAGTCAAGTCAATGCTATACAAAAGTAGACCAAAATGTTTACACCGTCTTGGTCATCAAACTATTTTAGTCTGGTACGCAACAAATTTCGGTATCAAATCAAGCTGGCAACTTTACCGAGTATACAGTTTATAGCAAACTGACCAAGAGTATTTAGTCAAAATATAGTCGTTAGTCAGCTTACCAAGACACGGTACAAACGTGGCCTTGGTGTTCTAATTCTCAATTTTATTTCATGGTCAAATTCCACGTACAAGTCACATCATTATGCGGCAGTTGTGAATTAACCATAAATTCTCACTTTTATATTGATCACTGTATCAATGATCCTATAATCGCTGAAGCTTTATCCTATTTCATCACCAGCATAGTCAAATAACCTAACAGTTTTCAGTGATTTCACTATTTGACATACCCCTCTTTGAATTCATCAATAAATCATCAGTCCTTCATGCCGATCGATTGAATTATCCACTGAATTTGAGAACTATCTGCTGTTTAAGCGATGTTTGGATTGGTGAATGAAATACTACTTGATGAATTAATGTTTCATGCGCATGATTCATCGATGAATAAAAGAACACGCCTTTATTATAAAAGCTTATTATTTCAAATGTGTATATTTGAAAAAAAGAGTGGTAGTGGATTTTTGTAATATTTATTAAAAAACAAGGTTATACAAATTTGAGCTCATCAGGGCACTTCCTTTTTCAGTTCTTCGTCACCACCAATTTTAAGGAATCTAGATATTATTGAAATTGACGTTTTATTATTTTGATGCTAAATCAAGTTTCTTATTCAAATACTGAAAAAAAACAAGAATCCATTCTCCAGTTTCATGGAATGTTCAACCTTATTTTTACAGCTTCTCAAAATTCCAATGATAACAATTTGAATTGAATTTTGTTAGGTGAGAAATAATAACTATTCTCAAATTGAATTTGCTGTGCCATTTTTAATAGATTTGTGAATTACCTGGTCTTTTCAATTAACGGCTTTTTCATTCACATACGAATGGATTTCCTATTATGTGTACAAGAACTTTATATATGTTTGATCTCAATATGAGCATAATTTATTTAATAGTGGATTATTAGTTTTTGTACCCACTTTCACAATAAATATTGACTGTTGTTCTTCGTTGTTTATTTTTTCACCTGATCACAGAGTTCCTAGCCAGCTGTTGAAACTTGTTGAAACATATACAGTGTGTCCCACTTACCATGCTCACCATGGATATCTTTTTAACGGTGAGAGATACGAGGTCGGTTAAATGACACCAAATGTGGAGTTTGTCAAGGCCAACTATAATGTGAAAAAATATTCTGATGAAATCTATTCGTTTTTGTTTTATACGCAAAAAACAGATTTTGATCATTTTCATGTCTCCTCCGTAACTTCTTTATTTATGAAAATATTCAAATAGGAATTTCACATTCTCATGGCAGTTTTTCGAAGTGATTTCGAAAAAAATATGAAATTTATACCAACTCTTCTAGAATTTGGGATATCAGCACCAACTTCAGTTTTTCAAATGTAGGTCATAGCTCACTATGACTTAGTTACAAATAACTTTTTTTTCTCTTACAGATGATATGTCGCAGTAATAGTTTTGTGTTGATAACAACGGAGTTATCGTCATTTATACAAAAACAAAAAAATTATTCGGAAGCCGCCATCTTGAATTTATAAATTTTAATAAAAAAATCATGATCTCCGACCTCAAAAACCTCCACTTACCAATTTTGAATGGAATCAGACCAAATCTTGTCCGCCATCTTGGAGCAGCCATTTTCTTCAATTTCAACAAAATTCCATAATGTATTGTCACCGAAATTATGAACACCTGCCAAATTTCAAGTTTATCGGAGTTATGGAATTTTTGTTGAAATAAAAAAAATGGCTGCTCCAAGATGGCGGACAAGATTTGGTCCGATTCCATTCAAAATTGGTGAGTGGGTGTTTTTGAGGTCGGAGATCATGATTTTTTGTTGAAATTCATGAATTCGAGATGGCGGCTTCCGAATAATTTTTTGTTTTTGTATAAATGACGAAAACTCCGTTGTTATCAACACAAAACTATTACTGCGACATATCATCTGAAAGAGAAAAAAAAGTTATTTTGTAACTAAGTCATAGTGAGCTATGACCTACATTTGAAAAACTAAAGTTGTTCTGATATCTCAAATTCTAGAAGAGTTGGTATACATTTCATATTTTTTTCGAAATCACTTCGAAAAACTGCCATGAGAATGTGAAATTCCTATTTGAATATTTTCATAAATAAAGAAGTTACGGAGGAGACATGAAAATGATCAAAATCTGTTTTTTGCGTATAAAACAAAAACGAATAGATTTTATCAAAATATTTTTTCACATTATAGTTGGCCTTGACAAACTCCACATTTGGTGTCATTTAACCGACCTCGTATCTCTCACCGTTAAAAAGATACCCATGGTGAGCATGATGGTAAGTGGGACACACTGTATAGCACGAGTACGTCCCCAAAACGTACCGAGAACGTCCGGCCATGACGTTTCGTACGTACTGGGAACGTCCAGATTAGGACGTAGTAGGTACGTACTTGGGACGTACATCCCCCGTACGTCAATTCGGGACCATGGATACCATGGATAATGGTTTAAAAATGAACAAAAAATAGCTCCTACCGGAGATAGATCCCGCGACCTTTAGATTACCGGGCAAATACATGAGATTATGTGTGAATGTCTATTGGCCCTTCACATCGCTTTCATGGGATTAGATGATCACGGCAGAGGGTTCCTGAATGAATGTTTTGTGATTAGGTACGGCCAGTAAAAAATGTATTGTAAGAATTGTATATGTTCATCATATAATGCATTCAATTTCGTCCACAATAAGTCGATAACGTCCAGAGTTGAACGTACTCAGTACGTCTAATGGACGTTTCAGAACGTCTTGAGAAGGTTCCGGACGTTCAGACCTAAATCGAACCTGAAATGGACGTCTCCAGGACATCGAGTGCTATATGGGGTCATAATTCATCATTTTTGATCTCTTGGAAAATGGGAAGGAGAAACAGGGTATCCCTAAAACGTCTTTACAAAAACACTTCATATTTCTCAGACCAAAACAATACAAGCAAACTCACCTCAGTAAAGTTACGGGCGTTAGACGGCTCAGAAGTTACAATTTTTTAATAATTTTTGTTTCATAACTGTCGAGATAGCTTTATGGGGCAACAAAACCCATACCACAATCATGATGAATACATTCCATGGGCATAGAACTTGATTTTTCTCATTATTGCCAGTAGAGCATGGGCTCAATTCGGGCAGATTTTCCATGTTAATCTCCATAAGAAAATCCAGGGTAAAAATAGCAAAAATTACCTTTTTTTCAAGGTCACTTCGCTATGTTGAAAGGTACGGAACGGATAAACGTTTATATGGGAGGAAAGAGGAGAATGTGAGATAAATAAAAAGTAGGAGTATACAGTGTGTCCCTAGACCAGTGGGACAGTTGAATATCTCCTGAACCAATAGGAATTTTCAAAATATTATAATTCCACATCATATTGCATCATGGGTGCTTACTTCAGGAATGACTGAATTTTATACGAGGGGCGCAAGAAAGGCTCACAAAATCGAACATCAATTTTTTCAAATGGAACACCCCATATATTTCAACATATCTGAATTCTCATTCCTTTAGGCTAATTGTCAATTTTTTATTTTTGAAAATCCGACAAGGCGTTGCCAAGTTATACTAGTGTTTCATGAAATGCAGACATTTTTTTAGACAAACCCATCATTCATACTACTAAGAATTTATGGAATGATTCAAGACTGTTGGTAGTCGGTAGCATATTCTATCATATGAAATACTCATCTACTTCGAAAGTTATACAGGGTGGTCAGAAATATTATATGATTTTCACGAAATTCGAACTTTCTTCACATAAATTTTTCAAATAGTACACCCTACAATATGTATAATTTTATATCCCATTGGTGGTTTGATTGCTTATGGTCGATAGTTGTGAAAGAGAGGTGTGAATTTCATCATCAGCAAATGCAAATAAAAAAAAAGCAGTAAACTATTTATTCAACTGTACTCAACTACTAAAAAAACAGTCCCAACAAGAAAAAACTGACTTGACGAATAAATTAGGCACATCTCTCTTTCACAACTATCGACCATAAGCAATCAAACCACCAATGGGATATAAAATTATACATATTGTAGGGTGTACATTTGAAAAATTGATGTGAAGAAAGTTTGAATTTCGTGAAAATCATATAATATTTCTGACCACCCTGTATAACTTTCGAAGAAGATGAGTATTTCATATGATAGAATATGCTACCGACTACCAACAGTCTTGAATCATTCCATAAATTCTTAGTAGTATGAATGATGGGTTTGTCTAAAAAAATGTCTGCATTTCATGAAACACTAGTATAACTTGGCAACGCCTTGTCGGATTTTCAAAAATAAAAAACTGATAATTAGCCTAGAGGGGTGAGAATTTAGATATGA